ATCATGCAGTTTAATATAACGACTCAAAAATAATTACCTTATCGTCCCCTCGAGTTCCTATCATGTTTTTTGAAGCTCCATTACCCCCTTTTGTCGCATTCTGCAGGACACAAGTAACAATTAGTTCTTTCAGTAACAATTAGTTCTTTCAGTGCAAGAATAGCTTTGGAAAAATATATGAGAAGATAAGGACTATGTACAACATGATGATGCAAACCACGGAAGTCCCAAACTGTGGGGGAACACTCTAAAATCACATCACCGCCTCGCCCACCATTTCCACCTCAAATAATGAATCCAAAAATGAACCGGAGTACAACCATAAACACCCTTTCACACATTTAAATCAAATCAAGTACTTTTTGTGATTATCAGAAATAATCAACTATACTGAATGATGGGAAGTTCAATGGAAATAAATTACATACACTGAAAGAAAGATTTTGATAAACAGTGTAAATATGGAGAAACTAAGAAACCGACGATCAATGGAAATAAAAAAACAATATCATATAAATCTAGGTTGATGAAGAATGGAAATAAAAAAACAATATCATATAAATCTAGGTTGATGAAGAAACATATCATACCGATACTATATGATGATTATAAAATTCAATCAAATCATATACCAACCATCAGGTTTGCCACGACGATCATGTCGACTGCGCTGAAACTTGAACAACCATTGCCGCCATCACCTCCTTTAGCACTTAGCATAAACCTGTCTCTCATTCTGGTTTCCTGCAAAAAGGCCCACTATCTTTTTACTAAAATGGACATTATAACATTATAGAGTTATTTGAAATTGTCTGAGAAGCAAAAATGCACGAAATAAAGGAGAAATGATGGAACAGCCGACCTGTAAAGGAGCAGACTTTGCTTTTGTGTGAGCAGTGTCCGAACAAGAGAGCAAAGACAAAAAGATCCATGGAGATTTTGAACATTTTCTTATGGCTTCTAAGTGGCAAAAGGGTTTTGCACAACGCAACCACATCAGTCTCTCCTTCCAGTCCACTCGTCTTTTACTTTCGCAAATTCAGTGAACCCACAGTTTATTGAATTTTCTATTAATGCCAGCAACCTACAGAAAGAAAAGGCTCAAATACTGAACCAGTAGACGGAGACGCTACAAAAAGTTGTGAATCACACACCATGACTCAAATGCCTTTTGAAGTAAAGGTACTTGCAAAACACTGAACATTGACAATATATCGGGCCACCATATCAAAGGAGCTTCACGGCTCTTTAGAACTAAGCAAACAATAAAGCAAAACCTAGCATCCTTGTCATTTGACAAAAAGATCCCATAGCGTCCAAGTCCCGAGTTATAATTCTAGTTAATCATCCAAAGATGATATCAATAATAATGTTTATCAAAATTGTTAAAACCATCAGTAAAAACTTTGGTAATGAAGCAATTTATCATCCTTGAGATGGAGCAAACAAATTATGCTTCCTGCACCTTCTTTTTTTTTTTTTTTTTTTTTTTTTTTTTTTTTTTTTTTTTTTTTTAAGAGTTTAGTTTTTCATCCTTAAGGAGTTTAAAAAACAATACAAACAAATAACTAAGCTAGCACAGGAACTCCTAGAAATCTCACTAAGTCAATTTATCAAACATATTGAGTGCAATTTAAAGTTCCAGAAATGTTAAAAACTTGACCTCACTTTTATTTTGTCAGAGTTTAAACACACAAGTAGAGAAAAGAGAAAAGAGAAAAGAGAGGAGATAAGAGAGCTACTGGATTCTATTGTTCTAGTTTTTCTTTTGGCAATTGAAAAATTCTTGCTCAATAAAGAAAATAAGAGGACAGAGTATGAGATGGAAAAAAAAAACATAAAACACGGCGTCGTTTTCCATCACTCATCTCCTACCAAAAAAACCCCTTTTTTCCTCCAACTCCTGCATCAACCGAAGTCGTCTCAGCTTTCCATCCTTGCTCATCCCCTACCTGCAAAAACCATATATTTTTTAAAATCTTTATTGCTTTTTCGCAACACGAAAAGGACGGAGGCATCCAGAATGGTGGCATAGGGGACAAGAATACCAAACCTGATCAGTATATTCACCAACAATGCTCATATTCTTCGATTTCTCTCTCTCAGTGCCTTTGGCAATGGTTTTCTAATTACAACGAGGACAAGGTTTTGCAGGCTTTGATGAAGAAACGTCGTCGCATTACAACATTTGTGTTTTTTTAAAAATAAAAATAGGTTCGGTTCGGTCGGTTCGGCTAGCTAAAAGTGATTTTTAATTTTGGTTTCAGTTCGATTTTATTTACAGAAAATCTGGTTAGGTTATAGCATTTGAATCGGTTCAAACTTTAATTTTAACTAGAGAATCAAATTGAATTGATGCTATTCCAGTTGATTTGGATTGATTTTTCAGCTAAATCAATTCCAGTTGAATCGGTTCAAACTTTTTCTTTTCTCTTTGAACCTTAAGAAGAAATAGACACTAGAGTTGGAAAGATGAGCAGCGTAAAGGTTTTGACAGGAAAGAAAAACATAATTGAATAGAAATTGATAAAGACAGTGCCTACTTTGCACGAGTTTGAGGAAAAGCTCTATTGTGGACTATTGATTTGTTAGGAACCAAGCTCTGGTACTAGTGTTTGGGCATCAGCTCTGATACCACTTGTTAGGGCCCGACAATAAAATTACGAGAATAATAACACAGACAATAACAATTATACGAGAATTAATTAACACAGCGGAAAATAGAAATATAGACACACAGATTTTATGTGGTTCACCTTTAACTGTTAGGTGAGCTAGTTCACGCGTGACAAGAAACCGGAATAATTCTTCCACTATTAAAAATAGTAGGCTTACAAAAGAGAGTAATACAAAATAGTGCACTCCAAGTTTTCCCAAAAATCAACCCTATAATTCCTCACATATTTGTTCTTCTCCTCTTTTAGGACCCCATTCCTAAAACGGTAACACTCTCTCGCTACATTTCTCTCTTTCGTTCGGTGTGTGTATTGACGATGGCTGAGTCCATCCCTATTTATTAGGAGAGGGTGGGATCGCGTTATTACGCGTCCACCGATAATACAGGTAACCTACCAAGAATCTCTCATTTTCCTTCCTTTCCTTTTTCAAACCTACGTGTGGGTTCCTATCACGTTTTCATTCTTTCGCTTTTTTTTTTTTCTTTCATTCTAAAGCGGTGGTCCCAATCATGTCCGGAGGGACCCACAACAAATTCTCCCCCTCCGACAACTACGGTGGGAGACTCTTCATCCCTGCCTGCTTTGAACACAGCCTTCGATACTTCTCCTTCTGCCTAAGTTGTTGACAGAGCAACACACTTTCTGTAATCTTACGCCTATCACAATCTCCCCCTGCACACTCAAGTGGGGACGTTAGCCATCATCATCCGCAGCTATAATCTTTAGTCTGCCCACACATCTTGTACGCCGCTATAAAACTTGCGGGACACTGCCGCCCCGACCTCCTCTTGTCGGGAAGACCTTTGCGAAACAGAGGCACCACCTGCAGATTCTTTTTCCGGTCTTTAAGCTACCAACAAATGCACCTTTTGTGCAGCTTCCACTGACCATTTCCTGAAGGTCTACAGAACCTTTCAGTCCATCAATCTACCAACCTAGATTTGGGACCGCAATGCTGAGATTTGGACGCATGCTCGAAAGCCCATTCCTCATCAGTCTTGTCTTCCGGTTTAGTTGAACTAAACACGGGCAAATGCATTTTGATTACCATTTTATTTCTCCATATGTGGTAATACGTGCCATTTAGACTGATCATTTTTCTTATCCATTTTGACTTGTGCAGGATATCATCACCAACATAAACCGTATACGTGAACAGCAATATACGTCAATAGTGACCATGAATAGTAACATTCTACTCGAATAGTAACTGTATGCATGAATAGCATTGTACACGTAAATAGTACTATACGTGAATAGTGCTGCGCTTAACAATGATGGGCTCAGCAACAGGAACGCCAATAGTAACTATTCACCATCAACCGCGAGTTACTATTTTACTATTCATCACTAAGTCGATTCTGCAACGTCTTTCCGAGCGGACAACGTCTTTCCGAGCGGACAACACCAATCCTTTCACCGAAGGACCCTTGCACCAATGGACTCGGCGTAAGTTTTTTCCTCATCGTCGTGGTAATATTTTATTTCAAAATGATATCCACGGATCCGGTAAACCAGGCTCTGATAACCACTTGTTGAACCAAGCTCTGGTACTAGTGTTTGGGGCATCAGCCTCTGATACCACTTTTTAGGCCCGACAATAAAATTAAACAGAATAATAAACACAGGCGGAAAATAGAAATATATGACACATCAGATTTATGTGGTTTCACCCTTTAAACTGTTAGGCTACGTGCCAGGACAAAAATCGAATAAATTCTTCCACTAATTAAAATAGTAGGCTTACAAAGAGAGTAATACAAAAAGTGGCACTCCAATAGTGTTTCCCAAAAAACACACCTAAAATAATCTTCACTATTTTTCTCTCCTTCGTTTTATGGAACCCATCCTAAAAACGGTACACTCTCTCGCTAAGTTTTTCTCTCTTCGTTCGGTGTGTGTATTGAGATGGCTGAGCCATCTCCTATTTTAGGAGATGGGTGGACGCTTTAGATTAACGTCCACCGAAATACAGGTAACTACCAAAGAAATCTCTCATTTCTTCTCCTTTTCAACTACGTGTGGTCCTATTCACTGTTTTCCATTCTCGCTTTTTTTTTCGTTTTCATTCAAAGCGTGTAGGTCCCACTGTCGGAGGACTCACAACAGATTATTTCAAGGCTGCTTAAAAGCAACTGCACAAGCCCAATTTTATCTTTTTACAAGTGAGTAATGGGAGATGGGAGACATTATGCATTGAAATGAATGTGGCACAGTGTCTCTGATGTCATTTCTGTATTTATAAATTCAAAAAGGGGAGAAATTGTGAGTGGGTCTTTTAATCAGTTTCTGTCCGTAAATTCTCAACAGTTATGTCGTAATCTCCATAAAAAAGTGAAACTTCAAAGGATCCTTCACTGTCTGCTTTAATTTCCGTTGTCTGAAATTTCCACCCACTGATCAACTTATCCACAACATATCCTGATGGAGTATTCCTGAAATTTATGTCTGCCAATGTCATTTTACTAAAACCTGCTACTGCTGGTCCTGGCCAAATGATAATCCCTTTCACGGCAGGATGAGAGTGGCTTTCCCTTAGTACTTTCTCCAGAATCCAGATACTTCGCCTGCATCCAATCCAATAATTCAGAACTGATAAGAGTGACGATTTCTATTTATTTATTAAAAAAACTTGGAATAATTCGTACCTGATTTGGGCTGCTGGCAACATCTACTTCTGTGAGCCATATAGGAAGTCCTAAAGAAGCTAAAGTATCCAATGAAGCTCTACGGTAAGCAAGATTTGGTTGATAAGAACCGAAATGTGCTTCCACACCAATTCCTGCTAAAATCCCTCTATTTCCGCGATTAGACAAAATTCCCTTTAATTTCCTAATATAATTTGCAGGATCTCCGCTTTCTTCAATAGTATTATACTCATTCATAAACAACCTTGTTCCAGGATCAAGCTGATGAGCCACCGAAAAATACATAGCAGAGGTATCTTTGCCAAGCTTGTCCTCACAAAACCTGAAGTGTAAATTCTGATTCATTATACCCAAGCAATTAATTTCCCTTTATACCTTGAAACTACGGAGTTTATTCTTTTCTGTGCAGATACTCGTAATTGGTTAGGAGAAAGATTTTTAACCCATGATGGTTGGTGGCTTGGATCATCCCAAAATATGTTATGGCCTCGAATACGAATACCATGTGCTTGTGCGAATTTCACCATTGCATCCGCAACTGCATAATTTTCTCGACCTTGTACACTTTCTGTGCTGTACCATTTCATTTCATTTGTGAATGTTGTATACTTGAATCTTGAAGCAAACCAATTTTGATAATTTCTGTTGTTGATGATGACATTGTTCACGGCACATCCAAATGGGAAGCATGACCTGGTTTTTTTAATTTATACTATTGCACCCTCCATGGTTTTGTTGGGGTGTGATATTCGGAAGCGTACATTTCTCTTTCTTTCCTGCATATTTGAATTCAGAAATGAATTATATTGCATTTTCTATTGTCTCAAGGAAAATTTCACCAATAATAATTTGTTTTGTTACTTTTGAAAAAAAAAAACTTTTTTAAAACATTTTCTATATAACTCAATTTTTGTAATGTAGTTAAAATACTAAAACCAATAGGTGAAATCGCCCTCAGGCTATCAATAAAGTACGATAAGGTCACTTACCACTCCAATTAACATATTGTTGCATTTTAGTATTTGATAAATATGTCATTTTTTATCATCTTCTGAATGCTTTGGTCTTGGTGGGATGTCCATTCCTCCATTGTAAAAGGTTGTAAAGAGACACTGTCAACCCAAATTCCCATAGCTGTATCCTTGCTCTTGAAAAATAAGGAAAACCAAAATTATCAAAATATAAAACATTTGATTAAAATAAGGAAGTTTTAGTAATTTACACATTATATAATGGTCTTTATTAATTACCTCAAAAAGAATATCAGCGGGACCTGATGCAAAGTTTGTAAGTATACCACGTTTAAGAAAAGACCAGCATCCATCCATTGATGTAACTCTACCACCATGAATGAGCTCACCATTAGCTCTTCTAAACACAACAGCTACATCCTCACTTCCATTCTTGACTTGAACCCAGCTGAATGTTACATCAAACCTTTTCTTATAAAACTGTTATTCACTCAGAAAAAATTTGCCAGCAATATATAGGTGACAATAAATGGGGTTTAACTGGGGTTTTTTTCAGGAATTAATACTGAATAGGAACTTACCAGAGAAACTGTAGAGTTTTCCTTCCTCAAGCTGAACCTTCTGTGAGAAACTGCCTAGTGAATGTTTTCTGCTATGTGCAATAATATATCTGTTTCCATGATCCTCAGAAACTCCTTTAATGAATGTTCTGCTATGTGCAATATGTTTTCTGCTATGTGCAATAATATATCTGTTTCCATGATCCTCAGAAACTCCTTTAATTGATCCTTTACCAAATACAGTCCCACTCTCTACGCCATTAGTAAATTCTGGATTTGCCATTATTCCTCCTCCATATTGAGTTCTATGTGGCTCTTTCAGGCACTGCCCTAATAAAAATATTTCAATTTTTTAAATAATATATTTATATATTAAAATAAAAATATAATAAAACAGTATACTCTTATATAATACATTAAAATAAAAAATAATATATTTACCTTAAATTCTTTTAAAAAAGTATGAATTATAAATTATAATATATAAAACAGTTATACTCTTAATAATCACCATGGAAATTTTACTAAAGGTCAATATTTTATGAGCTAACCTCTTTCCTCTACCAACCCATCACCTGTCAGCAACCGTTATTAGCTGCTATGAAAAGCTACAATCACTGGATTTTATTCTTGGTTATACATTTTACACTAGAATTCTAGATAAGTGATAATAAATCTCCATTCTATACAAATATGGTCAGATATTAAGTGGAGATTACTCTAGGGAACTAGCAACATTTTATAAATATGTTTTATTCTCGGAGTTTGGAACTTACGTATAAAATTCTGTATCCATTTATTTCATAGTGATATTTATTTTTAGTTGAATTGAATTAATGATCAGTTATTTGATTATTGTGGATCTGCCATGAAAAATATAATAAGCAAAAAATGGTATGTAAACTGGATGTATTTGGGGCTCATTAATTCCCCTGGTCAAGTGCCTGTCTCTTCCAATAAGATTATTTTTAGATTACACCAGAAATTTAAAAAAAAAAAGAAAAAAAGCAAAATGTGCAAAAATGTTAGAACTATCTATAAAAAATAAGAAACAAAATATTTTCTTGCGTCAGTTGTTGCAGAATAGTCGTAGGACAAAGCTTTAATCCAATGCCCTCCAACCATTAAAGCAGGAATATATAAACAAGCTTCCAATTGCTTGATGACATCCAGAGAAGAGACAGAGAAAGAGAAGAGAACCTGAAAATAGAAAAAGGCATAAGAGCACCCATACATAAGCTTCCAATGATGTCCTCATCTTTGCAAAACACTAGCAGTAGCATACAAGCATTTCCGGAAATAAATCCTACGATGTTATTGAGAGAAGATAGAGTTGCAAAGATTTATATCCAATAGTAAGAGATCTTATTAGAATGATATTAGGGTCAATAATTAGAAAATTACAAGATTATACTCTTGATATGATATTAGGGTCAATAATTAGAAAATTACAAGATTATACTCTTGATATGATATTCACCAAATGCCACACTATTATAGTATGGATTGTAAGATCATGTCCTTAATATGGTATTGCTCAAATCTCACATTATTGTAGAAAATATTGCATTTATTTTACATATTTTCCTTTCCTATTTTTATCTCTCCTTACTTGCAAATCGGATTGGTTCAGTGTACCTGAAAATATGAATTTCTATTTTTGGTCTTAGTTTGACCTTTTTCATCAGAAAACTGAATAGGTTGAAATAAATAAAGTATAGCCAATCAATTGTGATCTGATTGATCTTCCTATCTCTCGTAGAAGACGTAGAAAGTGGGAGGTCTCGATTTCGAGTCCTCTCCATCACAAAAGTTATCACCGATTTGGTGAATATTATTCAAAAGGGAGGGTTGGCCCTTACACCTACTGTATAGCCTACAATGTTATTTCAGCCTATTGGACTTTCCATATATATAAAAAAAAAGTATCATTTGATCGGTTTAAATTTTTAGTTTGAATTAAAAAATCAAATTGAATTGATGTTATTTCCGTCAATTTGGTTTAATTCCTTTAAAAAGGTAAAAATTGTAATATCAACTATTTTAGTTGCATTGGATTTATTTATCTTAAAATCGAATTCGATTTGATTCAAATCATATTTATTTATTTAGTTCAATTATATTCAATCCAGTAGGAATTGAAATGCTTTTGGGATTCATTTTAAATTTCACATTTTCATGATCTGATAATGTCAATATAAATTTAATTAAGTTCTTCTGGGTCTTATTCCCTCCTTTGCATTTAAAAAAAAATTAAGTTAGGTGAGCGTTTCAAATATAATTAATTTACCAAGTTTACTCTTCACTTTGAAAAAAAATTAATTAAAAATATAAAACTTATTTACAAATATTTTTTTGAAAGGTATTTACAAATATTTTAAATATAATTATATCTGGAGTTTATAAATTAAAATATATAATCTAAGGGTGGCAAAGCAAAAACTGTTAAAATCATAGGAAGATCTACTTTTGATATTAAAATTAACCTTAATTTATTCTTCAATTAAATGAAATAGTGTTTCATATAACTCAAAAAAAAAAACTCTTTCAATATTAAAGTTAGAGTATAATTAAATGGAACAATTTGAACCCTTTTTAATTTTATCCGTAAATACTAAATAATTATGACAATTAACTATTTAGTCCCTCGCTTAATTGCAAAAAAGGAAATTTAAAGACCTTACTGTGGTTTTGAAACCAATATAGGGATGTGGTAGTAATTTCAATGAAATTTCAGAGACTAAATAATTAATGAAATACTATATCGTTGTTTCAATCAATTTTCCCATCAATTATGGTAAAAAAATTATATTCCTTTGGTTTGGATCATCTTAGCCTTGCCTTTCGGAAAAGAAGAAAAATAAACACCGGAATTGAAAACGAAAGGTGAATGTTTCGGAAAAAAGAAAATCAATTTATTGATTTATATCAAAGGTTGCTTTCCAAGCAACTATACAAGCCAAAGTTTATTTTTTAACGAGTAATTCAAAGATGGCGTCAGAAAGCATTGACTATTTTTTAACGAGTAATTCAAAGATGGCGTCAGAAAGCATTGACATGAACCTGAAGAGTGTCTCTGATGTCATGTTCTGTAAGTTTATAATTCAAATAAGTGGAGGAATTGGTGAATTGATCTTTAATAGTTATGTCGTAATCTCCATGAAAAAGTGAAACTTCAAAGGATCCTTCACTATCTGCTTTAATTTCTGTAGTCTTAAATTTCCACTCATTAAGCAACTTATCCACAACATCTCCTGATGGTGTGTTCTTGAAATTTATGTCTGCCAATGTTGTATCAGCAGGACCTGCTGCTGCTGGTAGTGCCCACATGATAATCCCTTTCACACCAGGATGAGAGTGCCCTTCCCTTAGAACTTGCTCCAAATGCCATGCCTGCACCCAAAGGAAAAATAAGATTTAAGATTGTTAACTTTTTACAAAATCCTATCTCAACCCCCTAAAAGCTACTTAAAAACATGCTGTCAAAAATTGTCGAACACAACCCGTAACATGTGGTCGAACACAGTCGGTAAACATGTTGTCGAACACGTATGGCCTAATGCCAGTAAAGTACTAAGTATTCGCTTCATTAATGAGAGAGTGTCTAACCACTCATTCCAATCCTGGTAACTAACGTTTATATAGAGAGTGTATAACCACCCATTCCAATCCTGGTAACTAACGTTTGTTTTATATATATATATATTTGGACTATCTCTAATAATTAATTGAAAAACTTGGTAGAATACCTGATTTGGGCTTCCTTTGACATCTACTTCTGTAAGCCATATAGGCCATCCTGTGGAAGCTAAAGTATCCAAAGAAGCTCTCATGTAAGCAAGATTTGGTTGATTAGGACCAAAATGCCCTTCCAGACCAATTGCTGCTGAAACCCCATCATTTCCCCGATAAGACAAGATTTCCTTAAATTTCCTTATATAATTTGCAGGATTTGCCGTTCCATCTCCACTTTCTTCAATAGTGTTGTACTCATTCATAAACAACGTTGTTCCAGGATCAAGCTGACGAGCTAAAGCAAAGTACACAGCAGAAGCATCTTTGCCAAGCTTATCCTCAAAAAAGCTGAAGTGTAAGTTCTCATTCATTACATCCCAAGCAATTAATTTCCCTTTATATCTTGAAACTACAGATCTTATTCTTTTCGCTGCAGCTACTCGTAATTGGTCAGGAGAAAGATTTTTTACCCAATCCATTTGGTATTTGGGATCATCCCAAAAAATGTTATGGCCACGAACATGAATACCATTTGCTTCTGCAAATTTTAGCATTGCATCTGCATCTGCATAATTTTCACGACCTTGTACATTTTCTGTACTGTACCACTTCATTTCGTTGACGAATGTTGTATACTTGAATCTTGAAGCAAACCAATTTTGATAATTTTTGTTGTTAATGATGACATTGTTCATGGCACATCCAAATGGGAAGCTTGGCCTGGTTTGTTTTATTGATACTATTGCACCTTCCATTGTTTTTATTGATGACTATTGCACCTTTCCTGGTTTTGTTTGGGTGATGATTATTGTTGGGGTGTGATAATTGGAACTTTACTTTTCTTTTTCTTTCCTGCACATTTGAATTCAGAATTAGATATTGTTGAATTTTCTTAAAGAGAATTTCACTACTAAAAATGCATTTATCTCCAGAAAATAACTTAGCTTGAGTGATGAAAGTGTATTTTTTTTTGTTTTTCAAATAAAATAAATTTCTGTTATTTGGCTGCAATATTGAAAATTAATTAAAAGAGTATTAAAATTTTTAATTTGTAAAACTAAATGATTAAAATTATAAAAATTCATATTTCAAAAATTAACAGTTAAATATAAAAAAATACATAAAAATAATAAATTATTTTCCCTTTTTTTATTGAGAATGAATTATTTGAGAATGAATTATTTTTCCTTTTTAGTAATTGATAAGTATATCATTTTTAATTACCTTGTCAATGCTTTGATCTTGGTGGGATCTCCATTGCTCCATTGTAAAAGGTTGTAACGAGACACTGTCAACCCAAATTTCCAAATCTGTATTATTGCTCTACAATAAGAAGGAAACCAAAATTATCAAATATAAAACATTTGATCAAAAATTAAAAAAATAAATAAAGCAAAAAATCAGGGAGGTTTTAGTAATTTATCCATTGTATTATGGTCCTTGTTAATTACCTTAAACAGAATATCAGCAGGACCTGATGAAAAGTTTGCACCTATACCACCTTTAAGAAAAGACCAGCATCCCTCCATTGCTGTAACTCTACCACCAGGAATTAGCTCCCCACTAGCTCTTCTAAAAACAACAACTAGATTCTCACTTCCATTCTTGACTTGAACCCAAGCTGAGTATCACATCAATCAAGATTTACTTAAACCTTTCCATATAAAACTATTATTCAATCAGAAAAAATTAGCCAGCAATATTTTTTTCAGAAGAGGAAAATGATTGTGAAGGCTTGATTTAATTAATACTGAATAGGAACTTACCAGAGAAACTGTAGATTTTTCCTTCCTCAAATTGAACCCTTCCTCAAAATTGAACTTTCTCCTGTGATGGAAACTGTCTAGTGAATGTGTTTGGTAATGTGGCATAATGTATTGTTTTCCATCCTCAGAAACCCTCCTTTAATTGCTCCGTTTCACCAAACCACTCCAACCTCCTATGCCCATTAGTAAATTCTGGATTTGCTATTAATCCTCCCTCGTATTGAGCTCTTTGTGGCTCTTTACAGGCACTGCTCAATGTTGATGAGAGGAATCAATTTCGATTTCCTTTAATTAAAATTGCCTGTAAAATACAGCAGAAAGTGGTTAAATTTTTGGTCTGTCTATGACGACAGATATTATCTTGAAAGTATTTTACCGGTGGATGAAAAAAAAAAAAGAAAAACGAAAAGAAATGTAATATTTGTCTCTGCGCTCAGTTGTTGCAATCATAGTATAAAGATAGAAGCTGTTGAATCCATGCTGAAGATAGAAATAAGGATAAGCAGGATAAATACATAAGCTTCTGGGGTGATGTCCCCATTTCTTGAAATAAACGCTAACAGTTAAGGAAAGATTTATTATTAAACAAGTAGTAAGATAATATTAGCATAAGAGGACTAATACATAAGCTTCTGGTGATGTCCCCATTTCCTGAAATAACGTTACAGTTAAAAAGATTATATTCATTAAACAAGAGTAAAATATATAGATAAGCAATTAATATGATGCTTGAGTTTGTCCTGAGGAGAAGGAATGAAATATTTAAGGCCTTCTTTCGGTTCCGAATCATACAGAAGAAATGAAATATAACTCCAAATCATATACATAGGCTTTTGGAGTGGATTTGAGGATAAAATATAATTTCAATTCATACAAATTTGTTATTTTTCTTCCAGCGGAACACATGAAGGTTTTCACAAAACCAAAACAAAGAATACAATGAACGAACATAAAAAAGGCAAACCTTAGTCCCAAATTAGTTCGGATGGATTGTATGAATTCTTTTGTTTCTAATATCCGCTCTGATCAAATTAATATCAAAACGAAGCAAAATGGATGTACGAAATAGATAGATAGTGTGTCCTATCTCTTCTTATCTATGCATTCTCCAAACATGAAATTTACTTGGAGTTATATATAGGAGTCTTCGGAACTCAAATTCCAAAATTGAATTAAAATTTATTTGATTCGTTAATTTTCTAATATAAACTTTATCAATATTTGGAAATAACTATATTTATGTTATTGATATTTCTAAACTTTCTTTACTAGTATTTTGTTCTTTATTACATGCTAAACCAAAAAAAGAAAGAAAGAAATACATTCCATAAGATTTCTCTCCTTTCATTTTATTCCTCGAGGAAATTTGAAAAATGGAAGTTATATATAGGAAGTTTTATATAGTATATATAGTCTATATATATATATATATATATTGTGTGTGTGGGTCTCTGTATTGAGATTTATTGTTTTAGTATATATTGTGTGTGTGTCTCTGTATTGACATTTATTTATTTAGTTGTTGTTTTCAATTTTTTTTAAATGCACTGCATGATTTTTTAATTTTTGGATCTTCGAAGATTTTGTAGTGCTTCTAATTTTTAAAATGAATTTATTTAAGTGTTGGGATTCTTATATTAATTATGAATATTGGAAGAGAATAATTAATTTCAACTAAAGATTTTTTTTCCCTTCAAACTTAGTGTGTTTTTCCTCTTTTAATAATGTTAGCTATTATGTTTAGATAAAAGTCTAATTTTTTATTTAGTAATTCATGATTTTTAAGTAATGTATTACTTTCAATAATAGCCCACTCAAAACGATAAATGAAATTATTTTTCCTAAAAAAAAAATTTTCATTTATTTTTCATAATGTAGGCACTTAAATGCCATTATTGACATCCAAAATGTTTAAAAAATATTTGATCATTCATATCGTAATCTATGAGATAATATAATCACAATTAATATTTTTAACACAGATTTACAAATGAATATGTGTGTGAGTATATATATGAGTTATGAGAAAATGAGTATCAGTAATTAGGAAATCCGTTCGTCTTTTAACGACCATGGAACCAAGTAACCCTACTAGCTCCTCAAGCGGGGCAGTGCCACAAAATATAGGAGTCCAATTTAACATATATAATATATATTATAAAATATACAATATAAGTTATTAATTTATTCAATAAAATTTAGATTTAAATAGAAAATTAATATCATCAATTAAAATTAAATTATTTTTATTTTTTCAAAAAATCAAAAGAATCTTTAATGATATTTTTATCAATCCACAAATTAGTAGTGGCATCTTTTGCAATCTTAAGTTCCGTTTGTTTTCGTAAAATAATTTGCAGAAAAATATTTTTCATAATTTTCCGTTGTTTGCAGGAAAATAGGAAAATAAATCAACGAAAAATATTTTTCTAGTCAAAGAAAAATCAAGTCATTTTTAAGGAAAATGACTTCTCGTTCTCAAGAGCATAAAATATTTTTCGGACTTTAACAAATTTATTATAATTTTATAAATCTATATTTTTTTTAATTTACTAATCATTGGTAGTCATTACCATCACTCACTGCTCGCCACTACCACCGTTCATCGTTCACCACTATCGATCACCAGCGACTTTTATACAATGAGTACATGCAAGTTAAAAAAAAGACTAATAAATATATATATAAGTCAATTAGCATCATATTAATTAATGTGTACAAATATTACACAAATATACGTTATATATAATAACATATTAATATTACTATATTGATATTATAAGATTTTCGTTTTCAATATAATATTAAGCAAAATAATTAATATGTTGGTAATATAACTTAGCTATCTTATTGGATGCTCAATCTGTCGTGCGATTTCACTTGCACACAGAACATGAATATAAATATATATATAATGCTGTTACTTTTTGCTTAAAAATTCAAATTTTTTCTTTGATTTTACAATTTAATTTTATTTACATAATTTTTTTTTAGAATAAAAAGAATAAAAGGAACAATGGGATGAGAAAATTCTTCAATCCAAATTGTTTCCTCCAAAACAGAAAAAGAAAACTTGGCAAGCTCATGAGCAACTTGGTTTTTCTTTCTATAAGCATGAAGACAAAGAAAAGAACTAAAGTTGCTAAATAACAATTTCTAGTACCATAATCAGTATTTCGAATTCAACAAGCATTGCAGCCCATAGAGCCTTTCGTAATACCAGATATTGACGTGTTAAGTGATAATTTATGTAGGTTTTAGTAATATGAATAAATTACTTACTTCATGGGTCTTATTGATAAGAGTAGTTATTTTTCTACTAATTTCAAAATAAATTATTTAAAAATAAATTAAATTTATGATTTTTTATTTATTGAATTAAAGTGTGTTAAATATAACTGATTAATTATAATGTTGGTTAATTTTAATGATATGAATAAAATTTTTAATTCATGAATTTTAATAATATGAATGGTTATTTTTATATTAATTTTAAAATAAATAAAAAATAATAGATAAACATAATAGATAAGTGTTGCAATCAAATATAGAAAATTCAAGTGATGATGGAACAATATTAAATTTCTTACAAAAATAATAAATAAACGATGAAATTAAATATAGAAAAATCAACATGTACTTGATAACTTTGAATGAAAGAATCAACCATATAATAATAATTGTCTCAAATTTACCATAAATAGCTTGTTATGTCTATATATAGCAAAGTATCCATCAAATGCCGACACTCTTCCTCTCACGAAGTACAAATCGATAGCAAAATTGAGACTTCATTTTTTTCCAAACTATAACTTTTTTTTTTTTTGAAAATATTTTCCTTTTATACTATCTACATTTTATTATATTAAAACAATATTTCATTTTTTTTATACTAACATGAATATAATAACTAAGTAATAATCATATTCAAAATATTATATCATATAAAAGTCAATAAAGTTTTTTAGATAAAATTATAATATCAATACAACTTTTAAATTCAATTTATAGATATACAAATATATATTATTAGGTTTACTTTTTAACTATTAATTAATATTAAAATATTTAATATTAGTATTAATTTTTAAGATAATATATATACGCACGCGCAATCATAAGTATATGGATGTATATATAATTAGATTTATTTCTAATATATTAGTAGTAATTTTTAAATATCTCTAAGATATTTATTATTTTATTAGTTATAGTTATTAATTGTTTAAATGTATCATATTAATTAAAATAGATAGTCATATTATTTTGATTAATTATAATATTTAAAATTTCGTTTATCTAAAAAATTAAATTAAAATATTAGCTATTTTAATTAATTCTTAATTAATTTAATTAATATAGATTATCTAAAATTTTAAATTAATATGATTATTCATTTCAATTAGTTAAATCTACATGTTAAATTTTATATTTTGCATGAAGGAACAATTTTGTTGGCCTAGGCATTTTTATTTTGTACATTATGAAGATTAATTGATACACAAATATAAAATATTATTGTTCATTAATTAATTTCAATTATTCAATCTCCTTTTTCGTTTCGTTTTTGATTATCTTAAAGCAAGTTTGTTTGCTTTCTTTTTGGTTATATTCATACTTTATGTAGGAATTATATTGAAAATTTTATTATTTGATGGAATTCCGGCTTTCGATTTTGTTACTGCTCACAAGGTACAAAATTTTATATCTTCATGCTCTCTCAGTCTCTCTATTATAAGTAATAACCCATTCATAAACTTTGACTTTTTACTCTTTTTTTTTTTTTTTTCCTATTGCAATTTTAAAAAATAGCACCAACACTATTAATTAAGAGTTTGGTCCAAACATTCTCATTCTTACAAATTAAATTTTTATGGATTAATTTTGAATAAGTAGACATTTAATGATTTATCCAACATTGTAACTATTTTTTCCCCTTTTAGGAGGCATTTGATTCCTGAAATTCAACATTTCTATGGAAAAATATTTTCTCGAGAAAGTAGATTTTCAGGAAAGTAAGTACAGGAAAGTTGAATTATCTTATTTGGGTCACCATAAAAATTTGTCAGGAAATTAAGATTATTGTTTTTATTTAAACTATAAGAAAGTTTTAAAAAAATATAATAAATTACACTATTACCCTTAGTTTAAATATGTTCTATTTACTTGATCTACAAAGATATTATAAAAATATTCTTAAGTATTAGCCATTGAAAGTTGTATAATACGACTCAGTAAAATAAAATATAAACATTATTCAAATTGGCCTTCATTCCCAAATTTACTAAGCAACTATATTAGTTTAAATACATTAATACATCATGAGTAAATATTTCGTAGTAAATCGTACATTGGTATATCTAGATAATACATAGAAACATATACCGAAACATTTTGGATTTCTTGAAAAATGATTCAACTGACGGAATTTGGTATGGCAAATTCATAGATTCAAGTCTCATATCTATCTTTAGAAGGGAAAGGGCTTAGAAGATGGTGTCAGAATGCATTGATATGAATCTGAACAGTGTCTCTGGTGTCATGTTCTGTAAGTTTTTCTCGAGAAAGTAGATTTTCAGGAAAGTAAGTACAGGAAAGTTGAATTATCTTATTTGGGTCACCATAAAAATTTGTCAGGAAATTAAGATTATTGTTTTTATTTAAACTATAAGAAAGTTTTAAAAAAATATAATAAATTACACTATTACCCTTAGTTTAAATATGTTCTATTTACTTGATCTACAAAGATATTATAAAAATATTCTTAAGTATTAGCCATTGAAAGTTGTATAATACGACTCAGTAAAATAAAATATAAACATTATTCAAATTGGCCTTCATTCCCAAATTTACTAAGCAACTATATTAGTTTAAATACATTAATACATCATGAGTAAATATTTCGTAGTAAATCGTACATTGGTATATCTAGATAATACATAGAAACATATACCGAAACATTTTGGATTTCTTGAAAAATGATTCAACTGACGGAATTTGGTATGGCAAATTCATAGATTCAAGTCTCATATCTATCTTTAGAAGGGAAAGGGCTTAGAAGATGGTGTCAGAATGCATTGATATGAATCTGAACAGTGTCTCTGGTGTCATGTTCTGTAAGTTTATAATTCAAATTAGTCAAGGTATTGTTGAATGGGTCTTTAATAGTTATGTCATAATCTCCATGAAAAAGTGAAACTTCAAAGGATCCTTCACTGTCTGGTTTAATTTCTGTAGTTTTAAATTTCCACTCATCAATCAACTTATCCACAACATCTCCTGATGGAGTGTTCTTGAAGTCTTTGTCTGCTAAGGTAGTAACATTAAAACCTGCTATTGCTGGTCCTACAAACATGATAATCCCTTCCACACCAGGGTGAGAGTACCCTTCCCTTAGAACTTGCTCCATATACTCTGCCTGCATCCACAAGGAAAAAAGAGTATTAGTATGTACTCCCTCATTTCAATTTAACAGCAACATTTAATCTTTTCATAAGAATTAAGAAAATAATTGGAACACATAGATTTTTCAAAAAGAATGTCTAAATTATCTTTCTTAAAATTAAAAACTTTCTATTAATTTTGCTACAAAACACCTAATAAATATGGATAAAATTGAAAAAACAATAATTAATATACTCTCAAAGTCCTATATAAGCGTGGAACGTAAAGTGCTCATTTGCTGCTATAAAAGTGGAACGGAGAGAGTATTTCTTTTTAGTGAAAGAGAGATTAGGGATTCCAGAGTTCAAAATCCTGAGAGAAAATTAATACCCTATGACAGATTGTTATAAATATTTGATTTTAAATGACAATGGTAATATTTCTAGAGCTTATAATGTTACTATTACACTTCCTTTTAGACTATTTCTAATAATTTGTTTTGAAAAACTTGAAAGATGTATACCTGATTTGGGCCTCTGCGAACATCTACTTCTGTGAGCCATATAGGCAGTCCTGAGGAAGCTAAAATATCCAAAGAAGCTCTCATGTAAGCAAGATTTGGTTGGTCAGAACCAAAATGCCCTTGCACACCAATTCCTGCTAAAATCTTTTCATTTCCAGGATAAGACAAGATTTCCTGAAATTTTCTAATATAATTTACAGGATTTGCAGCCTCATCTCCACAATTTTCAATAGTATTATATTCATTCATAAACAACATTGTTCCAGGATCAAGCTGATGAGCTAAAGCAAAGTACACAGAAGAAGCATCTTTGCCAAGCTTATCCTCAAAAAAGCTGAAGTGTAAGTTCTCATTCATTACATCCCAAGCAATTAATTTCCCTTTATATCTTGGAACCACAGAATTTATTCTTTTGGCTGCAGATTCTCTTAATTCGTCAGAAGAAATATTTTTTACCCACTCGGGTTGGTATTTAGGATCATCCCAGAAAATGTTATGGCCGCGAATACGAATATCATTTTCTTCTGCGAATCTTACCATTGCATCTGCAACAGTATAATTTTCATAACCTCGCATTTTTTCTGTGCTGTACCATTTCATTTCGTTAGTGAATGTTGTGTACTTGAATCTTGAAGCAAACCATTTCTGATAATCTTTATTTTCAATGATGAAATGATTCATGCCACATCCAAATGGGAAGCTTGACTTGCTTTGTTTTATTGATACTATTGCACCTTCCATTGTAGTCTTGTTGGAGTTTGTTATTTGGAATCTTAACTTGCTCTTTCTTTCCTGCGCATTTGAATTCATGATTCAATTGAATTGACTTTCTCAAAGTGGATTTCACAGTTCTGTTTCTTTTTTTTTGGAAAGTAAGTCAACTTTTGAAAATATTTTCATTGAAACATTATTATTCAAATAACGCATTTTCTATGATTTGGTTGTAATATTAAAAATAACTACCTTGTGAATGCTTTGATCTTGGTGGGATCTCCATTGCTCCATTGTAAAAGGTTGTAAAGAGACATTGTCAACCCAGATTTCAACTGCTGTATTATTGCTCTTCAATAATAAGGAAAAACAAATTATCAAATATAAAACAGTTGATTAAAAACAAATAAATAAAGAAAACCTCAGGGAGGTTTTAGAAATTACCTCAAATAGAATATCAACAGGACCTGATGAAAAATTTGCAATTGTACCACCTTTAAGCAAAGACCAGCAACCATCCATTGCTATAACTCTACCACCATATATTAGCTCCCCACTAGCTGTTCTAAAAACAACAGCTACATTCTCACTTTCATTCTTGACTTGAACCCAAGCTGAATGTTCATTAATCAAGATTCGCTTAAACCTTTTTTTCAAAAAAAAAAAAAAAAAGATAGAGAAAAATGATTGTTTTTAAGGTTTGATTTAATAAAATATTGAATAGGGACTCACCAGAGAAACTGTAGAGCTTTCCTTCCTCAAAATGAACCTTCTGTGAGAAACTGTCTAGTGAATTTGTTCTGCTATGTGCAATAATATATTTGTTCCTATTCTCAGAAATTCCTTCTTTAATGGCTCCTCTACCAAACACACTCCAACTATCTATTCCATCAGTAAATTCTGGATTTGCTATTATTCCTCCTCCATATTGAGCTCTTTTTGGCTCTTTCAAGCACTGTTCAAATAGAAAAAATATTTCAATAATATGAACATAATAATAACCAAAATGGTAAATCCATAAGTTAGTAATTGTAAGAACATTTTGTCTGTAAAAATAATATGAAACTAATTATTTTCTTGCCTCAGTTGTTGCAGAATAGTCATAAGAGAAAGCTTGAATTCTATGCCCTGCAATAGTTAAAGTATAATATAGATACAAAAAAAGCTTCTAATTGCTTGTTCATATTCAGAAGAGGGACAGAGATAGAAGGGAACCTGAAGAGAGAAAAAGGCATAAGAGCACCAACACATAAGCTTCTAGTGACGTTCTCATATCTTCGCAAAACACTAGCATATACGAGAATTTCCTGAAACAAATAATAATCTGAAAGAGTATATATAATATGTTGTTTGGGTTTGTCCTGAAATAAGTAGAGATTGCCTAACATTACAAACATGAAATCTTCATAAAAAATGTTAATTTAAGGTCTTCTTTGGTGGGTGAATGATGAAATTAGGAATATTGAAATTTTGATTCCATAAAATAGAATAGTTTGCTTTAAATAAAATTTGTTTTATATATTCTGAAAATATTTATCTCATATATAAATTAGTGCACATTTATAATTTCAATCACATTATGAAATTTAAAAACTATGACTAAAATTAAACTAAAACTAAAAACTATATGCTTATTTAAATATTTGTTTATCAAAAAATTTTTAAAAAAAATAATCATTGCCAATCAGGTGGTGATCTGGTTAAATAAGAAGACAAATGTTGCGAGTTCGAGTTCTCTCAATCACTCTTGTATTCACCAATCTAGTAAATCAATGAGAGGGTTACCCCTGTTATGTAGCCGCAGTGTTATTTCGACTTATGAAGCCTCTAATGAATTAAAAAAAAATAGTCATTTTGGAATTGAAACGTGGAATATATATCATTTTTAGGGCTTTGGAGTGGATTGAAGGGAAAGTATAAGTCCAAATGATACAATTTTTGTTATTTTCCTTTCAATGTAACACATGAAGGTATATATTGAGAAAAAGAAACCTAACAATACAATGAATGAACATAAAAAAACACAATAAACAAAGTAATAATAGAAAAGAAATGCCAAACTTAGACACTGTTTGTTTAATCACTGAAACTTACAAGTCTTCCTTTGTAGTCCCGTGAAAGTTATTTGGAGTTATATATGTAGAAGTCTTGAGAGTGCTGCACTATCTAACTTGAAAGGACTTATAATTGATTTGATTGATGTTAATTGTGTCATTATATATGGAAACTAAAGAATTGGGATTCCTTTTTTTTTTTTTTTTTTTTTTTTTTTTTTCACTCAATCTAGGTAAACAATTTCAATTGAAGGAAGGGGCGGTTTACCCTTGGTTCAAATGTAACTGCGAGTGTTTAAGTTTTCGAACTTATTATGAAGCCTCTATGGAATTACACAAGAAAAAATAGTACATTTTGGAGCAGAATTGAGTAACGTGTGAATATAATCATTGTAGGGGGCTTGGGAGGTTGGGATTGAAGGGAAAGTATAGAGAGTCCAAATGAAATAACACATTTTTTTGATTTATTTTCCTTTTGAATGTAACACAATATGAAGGTATAATAATTAGAGAAAAGAAACCTAACAATACAATGAATGAAACATAAAAAGTCTAAACTCGAACCCATAAACACTAAGTAATATAGAAAAGAAATGCCCAAAACTTAGACACTGTTTGTTAATCACTGAATCGCTTACTAAAGTCTTCTTTGTAGTCCCGTTGAAAGTTATGTTGGAGAGTAATATATTGTATTTGAAATCTTGGTGAGAGTTGCTGCCATATATCTAACTTGAAAAGGACTTATAAATTGATTTGATTGATGTTAATTGTGTCATTATAATATGGAAACTAAAGAATGGGATTTCCTTTTTTTTTTTTTTTTTTTCTATTATTTAATTTTGCAAATTTAGAATAGTATACAAAACTGAAAATAAAATCATAAGAATAGAATTGATTTGCAAATATCTAAACAATATAAAGATATATTGTTTTTAAGAGTAACTTATGGAACGAAGTTCTAAACCTAATTTATTTTCAGAATTGCGTATGACGGTGTACTTACACTAAATTATACTTATGAACTTCTCAATACAGAATAGTTTATTTCGAGATTAAAAATAGTTAATAGTTTCTTCTATGTTATTATTTAATTATTATACTTAGAACATTTTAATGTAGTAATAATAAATATTAATTTTAAAAATTGGAATAAAAAGTTGACAACTTTAAAAGCTTTTAAATAATTTTAAATGGTAAAAAAAATTTTTTTGCGAATAGCTGCGTTACCAGCCACACTAAAAGGATTAGTAGGAGACTTAAGGGGGGGGGTTTTTTTTTTTTTTTTTTTTTTTTTTTTGCAATTTAGAATATGATCACAAGAATGAAAAAATCATAAAGAAAGTTGTTTGCAAATATCAACAATATAAAGATATTTTTTTTAGTACTATGGAACGAAGTTTCAACCTAAATTTATTTTCAGATTGTAACGTACTTACCACTAAATTATACTTTGACGTCTCAATACAAGATAGTTATTTCGAAGTATTGATAGTAATAGTTTCCATGTATTATTATTATTATTACTACATTTTAATTAGTATATAATATAATAATTAATTTTTAAAAAATTGGAATAAAAAGTTGACAACTTTAAAAGCTTTTAATAATTTTAAATGGTAAAAAAAATTTTTCCACCTTCAATTAAGATAGAGAACTATGATGTTTTTTTTCTTTTTTTGAAAATTAGAGAAAAAAATTCGAACCTATATTTATTATCAGGTCCTAAATTATTTACTATTGGACGATGGTGTGAGTATGGATTAGATATTTAGGTTGTATATATATTATTATTCCAATTAATTTGTAACTGTACATATGGTTTAGGTACATATGCCTAATTAACGACCAAAATGGTTCACTTGGAAAAAGAAGTTTATCTGTCCATGTCCTTTCTTCCAACCTTATTTCTTTTCATAGGAAATAAAAGAGGAACTTTTATGTTCTTTGTTGTGCAATCCACGTGGAATTCAAATATATGTTAAAAATCAACGGTTACTGGTGACTTGGTGGGTGGCACCTTGTGCAGAGTTTTAGAAAAAGATTTATAGCACCCAATAAATAAACTTAATATTCAAGCACAATTTTACTTTAATATGACATTTAGCTTATATATATATATAATTACCGGTATCCGGACATTAGCTTAGTTACGATTAAGACTCTTCGCTCCTCCTTACAGATGTGTTTAGTGGGATCGAAAGCCGAAAACTCTTTCCATATATCTAGCCCGCGTTGTTAATTGAACCACTATCCTTGGGTAATTTATAATATATACTTAATAATATTGAAAAAGAAATTCTTATAAATATTAATTAGACCAAGCACGTGAGTACCAATCAATTTAAAAATAAAAACAAATATATCACTACCTATTAAAGACAAAAAATGAACATACAAAGTTGTAAACTTTATACATATAAGACTATTTTCACTGCTTTTTTGTTCTCGTTTACTGATTTAAGTCACAGCATTGTAAAAGAAATTCATATTTGGCCCCTTGTAACGCTAGTCATTGCAACAAGGTGAATCCTATACATAGATAGAGGGTAGAGAATACATTATATTATGACTTTATTTATTTATACGAATGGATATTAATTGTAGAAAATAGAAATTCATAAATTTGTAGAGCAAAAAGTTAATTATGAGTAACTATATATAAAAGAATTTAAAAAACAAAAAGCGTTCTCTAATTTAATTTCTTCAAATTAGAAATTTAAATTAAAAATAATAAAAATTTTAAGAATAATAAAATTCCACATATCGTCTATTGTGCCACATTATCAAACGCGTTTCAACATAGATATAGATATTATGTGATAATTTTTGAAATCCATTTAATTCACTTTGATTTGAATTCCAGCAAGGTATGTTTGGACGAAATAATCTATAATGAGTCAAAATAAACTTATAAATAAGGAAAACTTATCATTTATAATTTAATTTTCAGTATTGCAATTCAATCAATAAGGTGGAAAGCAATTGCTCTTGAGTGTATCCTAAAAAAATGTATTAGTCTAATAATGAATTATTAGATTCTTAACTACTATTTACATTCTAAGAAAAGACTAAAAAAGACAATAGTTTAATTAATAAAATTATCAAATTTATAGTTCATATGTAAAGTCAATTAATTTTAATCGAGTCAAATTATAAGCATAAAGATTAGAAGTCTAATTTTATAGCATTAATAAAACAGAACTTTCCATTTCAAAAACAAAATGAAAAATGTTGATATATGTTAGTTGATATCTGATAGAATATAAACATAGGGATTTAACCGTAATTTGTATATAATATCTAATTATGTTTTAAAATTAAATATTATTATTCGGATAGAATCATAATAAGATTAAGAGATCTTATTCATGTTTCTTCATGAATATGTATTTAAAGGACTCCAGCTACAACTCTAATAAAGGGTCTTTCTAGCTATATATAAGGAGATCAAACTCTATATTCAGGTATTAATACAATATCTCATTGAATTACAACTATTTATTTTTCTCTTACTGACTTAAACATCAGAGTGGTTTCAACCCTAAAATCCTTCTTTTCTCTCCCTTTTTCATCCATATCTTGTAGTTTTCTACGTAAGCGCTATAGATAGATTTTTTTAAATTTATAAAATTTATATAAAAAAAAAAATAGTGGACCAAGTCAATTAGAAATCGTTTGCATTGGATGTAGCTCAATCCCATTTTCCTTATAGTGGACCAAGCATGAAGGCACCATTTTTGTACGAAATGGTGAATTGGGTTATCAGGATCATAGCACCATTGAGATATGTAGGGCAAGTGGAAGAGTGACTTAGGGCATTTATTATTTTGAGAAACCGCATTAAAAATAGTGGAATATGTAACCTTTTTTTTTCTAAATAAAGTATATACTCCAATATCCCACTTTAACATTTTATTTTATTTTAGTTAATTCATATATCTGCGTCTAAATTTGATATCCTTTCACGAGTGTTTTTTTTTTTTTTTTTAATTGAGATATGTAGGTGCAAGTGGAAGAGCTTGACTTTTTATGGTGGCACATTTTTATTATATTTGAGAAACTCGTGCATTTAAAAAAATAGTGGAATAATGTAACCTTTTTTTTCTAATAAAGTATATACTCAATATCCCACTTTAACATTCTTTATTTTTATTTTAAGTTAATTTCATATAATCTGCGTCACACATTTGATATCCTTTTCACAGAGTTGTTTTTTATTTTTTTTTTAATAATCCGGTGATTTCATAATCTTGCAGTGATCTTCACTGAATTAAGCTATGACTTATATTAATTTCTAATCCCATTTTTGTAAATAGTGAATTTTTACTTTAACGTTTAATAGCGTATACCAAGGTTGTTACAATTTCCTCACAATAAGATTTGGCAAAGGATGTCATTTGCAAACCTAAATTAGAAGTAATGGTATGCCTTTAATTTTTCTTTTTGGAATTCGCTCCCTTGCATCGAGTATATAGATAAGTTAACCTTTTGTCTTCACACAATTAAGCTCAAGAGTGAGCATGAATTCACTTTTGTAACTTTTTGTTTAAAAATTTTATACCACTTTTGAATTTTTATTTCTTGACTAATGATTATTTTAGTAAAATTACACTGGTTCAATTGGAATATTTAATTTTGTAAAAATCATATTAATTAGAATGTTTGATAATGATTAATAAAAATTAAATCTGCGATTAATTAATTAAAAAAAATAATAAAATTAATTGACTTTAATATTTTGTAACTAACTACATTGTACAATCAATATTGTTAACATATAAAGGTAAAGAGATTTCTAAAAATCTACATGTTACAGAATTATTAAAGTTAACAATAGCTCCTATTTTTTTTTTTTTTTTTAATGAATCGAATTCATAATCTTGCAGTGATCTTCCACTGAATTTAAGCATGACTTATTATTTAACCATTTTTTGTAAATATTATTTACTTTAAAGTTTATCTCCTAACCAGGTTGTTCAATTTCTCAAATAAGATTTGCAAGGTGTCATTTGACCTAGATTAGAGTATGGTATGCCTTAATTTTTCTTTTGGATTCCTCCCTTCATCGTATATAATAAAGTTAACCTTTGTCTCAACAATTAGTCAAATACATGAATTCACTTTTGTACTTTTTGTTAAAAATTTTATACACTTTTAATTTTTATTTTGACCTAATGAATATTTATAAAATTACACCAATTGAATATTTCAATTTGTAAAATCATATTATTGAATGTTATAATTAATAAAATTAAATCGATTAAATAATTAAAAAAAATATAAAATTATTGTTTAAATTGTACTAACTATATGTAAAATCAATATTTTACATATAAAGGTAAAAGATTCTAAAAATTACAGTTATTAGAATTTTAAAATTACAATAGCTCCTATAAAGTTTGGAATACTATTGTTAGACTCAGTAAATGAGAATATTTTGTGGAGTGTCTTGAGATTTATTATTATTATTATTATTAATCAGAAGCGAGAAGAGAGTGTGTAGTCTGAATAGTCCGAATCTGTCCACTATCCCATTATTTGATGATCATTGTAGATTTAAAAGAGATTTTTTAGAGATTTTTAGAGGGTTTTAAAGAGAATATTTGTTAATAATTCTAAATAACAAATATTGATATATTTAACTATAAAATAATTTCTATATATATTTTTATTTATATTGATTTAAAAGTTTTGGTATTCTCAGTTCAATTTTAGGTCGTGTTCGGCAATAAATTTTGAGCTAATTTTTACCGTTTGATAACATAGCGCTTTTTATAAAACGTTAAACACTTCAATGTTTAGCGTTTAGTTTTAATTAAATTTTTTTGACAAAGCTAAAAGTTAATAGCTAACAGCTAATAAACAGCTAACAATTACTACAACAGTTAATAGCTATTAAAACAATTAATATTGTCGAACACATCCTTAATATCCACCTACATTTGTCTGAATTACAATGAAAATTAATTGAGTATAATCTCTCCATGGTTCTTTTTATTTTAATTATCTATTTGAACTTTTGTTTTTTTGTAGAAATAAGAGTGTAATCTTACAACATAAATACTTTTAACACTTCTAGTAAATACGTTTTACCCTTATTGAGGTTGAGATTGCTTTCCTCTCTAAATCCAACTAACACATTGTTAGTTATTTTGAACTTGTATGTTTTCAAGAAAAGAATAAAGGCCAATTTATCTCCTGAACTTGTTTTGCTCCTAAACTTATTTAGTAGGATAAAAAAAGTCAGATTTGACATTTTGGTCAATTTAACCCTTGAACTTATTTAAAATGATTAAAAAGATCATATTAGACATTTTGAGTCAATTTTTAGCCTCTGATTTTTCAATGTATTTACAATGTGAGAATCATTATACAGACATTTATCAAAACTATAATTGAAATCCGGCTGTCTAATTTATTAAAACCGTAATTAAATACAGAATAGAGGAAAATAGTATATGAATAATATTATCTCTCTCTTTACCTTGACCAATGATTTTGAATTCATAATTATATATTAATATGAACATTTTAAAATTGACCTTTATTACTTGATTATCACATATGAAATATATGCATATTTCATATTGAACAAATTAAAGTTATAATGCATATTATAAATTTATTATGTTAGAAGAAATAATATTTTTATGGATTAAGTATCGGAAAAAATTGATTTGAATATTTTTAAGTAGGACAAAAAGGGATAAAAACTGAATCAATTCATTAATCGATAAAAATCAAAATAACTTCAAAGGTTAAATTAGCCTAAAAAGTAAAATCGGATTTTTTTACTCATTTTAAACAAATTCAAAGAATAAATTGGCCTAAACAAATCTAACTTTTTTTTTTTATACTGCTACACAAATTCAGGGTTTATTCCTTAAAGAAATTATTATTTTTATTTTAAGAAATAATGGAATAGCGTGAGGGGAAAATCCTGTTGTTACAATACGACAGGTAGTTTAGGAGTAGTTAAGTGATCGTTTCTTTGTGAAAAAAAAAATTTGCAACTAGAAAGAGTAGCATATTACAAAAGACAAGTAGTTTGGACTTGCCGCCATCTCTATTGAACCCCAAGCGGCCATGCCGTCATAGATTTATAACCATCAGACCACGCAGTATATAGGTCTGAGACTCTTATCTTTCGTCAAAGATTGAAGGATTTCTTCTGATATTTTTCTTCTCCTTTCTTCGATTTTTTTTACTAAAAGTTTTGTTAAAGATTTGATTTTTTCAAAATTAATTTTAATTAGCTATTGGGTCTAAAATTGTTATAGATCCTTTGACCATACGTCTATCAGGAATGTCTAGAGATATATTAGATAAACGGATAGAAACTTGTTTAGTTCCAAAAGAAAATGCCGAGAATAGAAGAGTTTAGGAGGAAAAAAAAAAAAGATGAAAAGAGACAGAATATAAAAACTTAAGAGGCTAGAAAAGAAAGTGGGATTAAAGGTTGAATGCGATTAAATAATTCGATTGTTTGTACAAATTTACGTGTTAATTACGACATTTGTTTCTCTATCTATAGAGTTCGTAGGAGTAACCTCCTTTAGAATTTTTTGGATTTTAAGTCTAAATGGCCCTCTTATCACTATACTAAAAATATAATGAACCTTTCTAAACTTTGCAAATTCAGATATCTCGTTTAGGCCTGATTTTTATTAACAATAACAAAAATAATTTTTGCGTTTTAGCAAAATTTCGGAATTAAGAAGTTAATGCTAATTAAATATGATTTCATTGATTGCACAAAGAAAATATGGTCTTAATCTTCTCCCTCTATATATATGATAGAGGAATTGTTGTCGCTTGGAAACTGATGTTTTCTTTTTTAAAATGAAAAATTTTTCCCTTTTTAATATTTCGAGTTCTGAAAAATAATTAAAAAAAAAAAAAGACCACCATCTTTGGTTTATCGACCAATTATTTACAGTTCAGCCATTGACTGTTAAGAAAAAAGCATAAACACACTAGTGTAAATGAGAATCTAATATAATAAGTCCATAAACCACAATGGAATCGCTATTTATCTACAACTTGGGAAACAAAAGAGGCTTTGTAGATTAAGTGTAAATTAAATAATTTACCATGAAGTTTTATAACAAAACACCACCAGAAATAAAATCCAATTCACTATTATTACTGTATGCAGTCAGCAATTTCAAATAACTAGACTTTTTTTTTTTTTTTGGTAAAATAGAGTGCTAAACAGAGCTAGCTAGAACAAGCACCAGCTTCATCATGATCAAGCCAGAATGGAAGATCTAATGATACAAGGCAAAAGAAAAAAATATTTGTTGACCATAGTCCTTTACCTTCGTAAATGAAATATTTTCTCTTCTATTGACAAAAGCTCGGTTTTCGCTTAAGCAGCCAAAATCCGAAACCATTTGTTATGAAAGGGTCGTTAAGGCAAGAACAACAGATTCCATACTTGGACGTAATTGAGGATCATCTTGTGTGCATGCCCAGGCCAGCTGTGCCATCTGCAACCAAAATTGCCACGCAAAACTTTTAGCTTATATATATAGGCCAAGAGAAAAACATTTGTTATGAAAGGTGTTTAAGGCAAGAACAACAAGATTCCATAGCTTGAGCACGTAATTGAGAAGAGATGTGGCAATCTTGTAGTTGCAATGGGAATCCCAGTGCCAGCTGTGCCATCTGCAAACCTAAAATTGCCAACTCAAAAAACTATTTAGCTAATATATATAGCTACTTATTATGGATAAAAGTAGTAATATATACTCCTATATATATTATTTTACTTATACTATATATATATTATTAGTCTAAAAAAACCTTAAGTGCATTATATATGCAATTCAAATATCTTTATACACGTTAAGTATGAATCGTGAGAGATGGTAGCGTGATCTGCCACAGCCTTGTAGTCAAGCCAATTTTTCGGAATATTCTCACTTCTAGGATCAGGCTGTTTAAAGCTTTCAACTGTAACAACATTAATAAAGATTTTAAGTAGAACACTCGAGTCAGGTCTGCCATTTTATTCCACAAATTAATAAACTTTGTGTAATTGGTTAGAAGTACATTATATTTTATATGGGCGTGATATTGAGAAGGATTCACCACGAGATTTAATATATATATAATACCATAGACTTTGTGGATACTCTAGTGTGCAAATATGTAAATTTTAGTTTTAGTTTGCAAAACAGAGTCCTCACACTTGTGTTCAGGTTAACTGTGAGTACTGGGATGATCTACTTCCCGGGAAAATTAGAAATTGATAATGCAAGCAAAATAATAAGCGCATTTTACTGCACACTTACTGGGAAAAGTTATACTTCTCTGCCTAAAGCTCATTCCCTTTGTAAACTATATCAAACCTTAACTGCATATATTGCAATTCATTCTTTTACCCTTTTAAGTGCATCGAATGGATAGCGATCTCCAAGCCTTGGATCAACCAATTTTCGGATGTCTTCTCTAGGATCAGGCTGTTTAAAAGCTTTATCAAACTGTACAACATAATAAAATTTTAAGAGAACCGAGTCAGGTCATGCCATTTTCCACAAATTAAAACTTGTGCATTGTAGATACATTTATTTTATGGGCGGAAATTGAGAGGATTACGAATTTAATATATATGTACCATAAACTTTGTTGTCTCTAAGTTGCAAGTAAATTTTAGTTTAGTTGAACCAAGGCCTCACTTGGTTCAGGTAACTTATACTGGGATGATCTATTTCCCGGAAAATAGAATTGATAATGCAAGCAAAAAATAAGCATTTTACGCACTTCTGGGAAAGTTATACTTCTCTGATCTACTCACCCCCAACCAGACATCACCTACTCTTTAATCCCAAAAACCAACATTGGTGCATTGGTTGGAGTAATGTAATTTGAGAACCAACATATTAGAAAACTAACCAATGCATAAAGGCCCCTAAATTGAAGGCTGGAATCATTTGTCTCCACGATGGCTTCCTTCCCAGAAATAAGTTCATAAAGAACAATCCCAAAGGCATAAACATCAGCTTTTGGAGAAATAGTGCCACTTTCACCATACCTGCAGGCGGCAAAAATTCATAAAACTTGATGCATAGACTCCAGATTCCTGTTAAATTGAGAAGTAAAAAGAGTCTCACTCTGGTGGCATGTATCCAAATGTACCCACAAGACGTGCAGGTCGCAGAGCACTTCCAACCTCAACAAATTTTGTTAAACCAAAATCTCCAACCTAAATGAGAAATCATATGTTAGAAATATTTACAATAACTGAAATGAATGCCAAAAGCAACAAAGTTAGTGCAACCTTTGCTTGGAAGCTCTTGTCAATCAGTATGTTTTCTGGCTTAATATCACAATGAACATAATGATCATAAGTCCTTTCATGGATATATTCGAGTCCTCTAGCTGAATCAAGGGCAATTTGTACCCTGGTAGACCATGACAGTGGATCCCTGTCTGGAAACAAGCATATGAATATTACCAATGCCATTATTCTGTATCTGCTAATTCATACAGAATGCATGAGATCTCACCAGAGCCCCGCAAATGTTGGCTTAGGTTGCCATTCTCAATGTATTCATAAACTAGAAAAAGAGATCTCTCAACACAGTATCCAATCAATCGGACCTGCATGCATTAAATGTAGACAATATTAGGTAGTTAATGAAAAATCCTACGCCATGCAAGATCATCCATGTCATTGGACTCTGCAAAATTACAAAACTTATATAGTTATCACAACTATGAATAAAATTTGTAATATATTCCAAATCTTTGGAGGAAATACCAATATCCGCTTAATGTGATGACCTCAAACTACAAGAATGTAGACGACCAACATAGCTTCCAGTAGTAAATACCATTTAATGTCACAGCTTTGCACTCCAAAGGTTTGAGTGAGATCATAAAATTTTCTGGAAACAAGCAAAACAAAATCTGTTGACTGTCATTCTACATTTTATTTCTGCTAACAGTTGAACTAGAGCTCCCATTTTCATGGAAGACAGAAACACATTGTTTAAGATCCTTCCATAGAAAGGACAGAACATCTTACAAGTTGGAATGAGTGGTGCATTAAACAACTTGATGGTGCCAAATCCCACATCGACTAGAAGTAAGGGGGCAAGAAGATTCTATTGGGGCATGAAGACTTAGCGTCATGATCCCCTTCCTGTGGCTTATCACTGGCAGTTTGCTGGAATTGGTCCATTTTTACTATATCAGAGCTCGGGAAACGAAGCTAAACTAGGTGTGAATATAGATTGAAAATGTTTTTTATCTTAAAAAACTATAGAATGAGAACCGAACAATTATGATGAGACATCATTTATTTTTATAAGTAGCTTAATTTAGTCTAAAAAATTTTTTATAAAATTAATCATTAGACTTTTTGGTTCTTCAATTTAAAATTTAGTTTCAAATAAATCATAGCGTATAGTAGAGACAAATCAAAGAACCTTACATGGCTATAGTGTATTGATTATAACTCATAGTTACTCAAATTAAATTAACCTTATATTATTACAACGAAAGACAATATGTTAAACTAAATGATTGAAGCAATTTTCATTAATTGAACAATTAATGACATTCAATTATGTTCAAATCAGTTAAAACGAATTCTCCAATTGAATGATGTGTTAGTTTGAAATCAATTGAATGAAATTCTTAAAGTGAATGAGGCAGCAAAGAATCATCCAAAACTTCTCTATATGCTCACCGAGGAAAATGGAATCACAAAAAAAAATAAATTAATTAAATTAAATTAAACTAAAATTAAAATGAAATGAGATCTTATTGTGTTTGTAATTAGATAGACATAGCAAATGACTTTGCAGTTTCTAGGTAATGCCAACAACAGATCTGAAAATTATGCTAGGATAAAATTATGCACATGGCTACTTTGTCTTTGTAATCATAACCGATATAATATTTCTTGTAGCTGGGAGATGCGAGCGTACCAGGTTAATGTGATGAACACGTACTAAGACCTTTAGTTCAGCTAAAAATTCTGTAGAAGCTTTCATATCCATCTTCTTAATTGCCACTTTCTGCATAAAAGTCCAATTTACATGCTTTAGGAGCAGAAATATATGTTGGATTTAATTTTCTATTGTGGGCTTAATATGTAAAATTAAATATGTACAGCAGTCTAATTGTAAAGTCAATTTCAAATATATTGAGAACAAAGTATTAGATCAAATTGTTGGATTTAATTTTCTATTGTGGGCTTAATATGTAAAAAAAAATATGTACAGCAGTCCAATTGTAAAGTCAATTTCAAATGTGGTTTTGATTGTAAATAATTGACTATTGAGGTATCAACTAATTATAGATATTAAGTGTAGAGACCATTATATAATTCCTATTTCGTTAAAGGACCGAAATAGGAAATGAGGGAATTGTCTGAGCCTAGAACAGGATATAAAGTCGTGGTCCCCAAGGAGTTTGAATAGATTTCAGTTTTACGTTCCTTTCGTATTGCGTCCGCTGAAATCGATTCTTCAATTCTCTGGAAGGCAATGCAAACCTAATTCTATACAATCAAAGATTCGACGAACAAACGATGTCAGGTACGCAACTTTTCCTTATTCAATCTATTTTGTTGAGATCTAGTGGTTTGCGACGATTTCTAGGTTTATTATGTGAATCATTTTTGAGAAACCCTACAGGTATATAAAGGTCGTGGTCCCCAGAGGAGCCTTGTGCATAATTGCTAGATTTTAGATTGATTTTCGTAAGTTTTTTTTTTTCCCTACTGTTTACGGATTGAGGGTTTTGTTTAATAATAATAAAAAAAAAAATTTTGTTCTCATTGGGGAATACGAAGAACAGGTAAGAGGTTTTGATATTTAATGTTTTGTGTTTTCTTTTGATTCAATCATGTGTTGGACCCTGATTTTCACGTCGGTGGTATTTTGTTTTTGCTGGCCGGATTTTGTTTAAAAGAAAAAAAAAAAAAAAAACTAATTTTCTGTTTTTTCGTAATAGGTCCCTAATTTTCTATTTTTTTTTATTAGGCTCCTAATTTTCTTTAACTTCAGATTAGGCCCCATAATTTTCTGTAACTTCAGATTAGGCCCCTAAGTTTCTGTAACTTCATATTAGGCCCCTAATTTTCTGTTTTTCTGTTTTTTCGTATTAGGCCCTTAAATTTCTGTTTTCTTTCGTTTAGACCCCAAACTTTATTTATTCAAATTTTTATTTAGTCCCAAATTTAATAACTTAAGTCTATAATTTTAGTGACTTAGACTAGATTTATTTTTTTTTTTTTTTTTTTGGACTAAAATAATTTTAAGAATTATCTAAATATTTAGACAATCATTCATTTAATATGCAATTGTTTTTGTTTTAATTAGCAAATTAAATGATTTTAAATTTGTCGACTTGAAGATTATAATTTTGGTAGTGATTAAGTCCGCTATTGTGTTTTGATATTTGTTAAAATAAATTGGGATTTGATCAATTTAAGTCACCAAAGTGACCTTCTATTGCTTTGAATTGATTTATTTTAGAATATTAGACAGGTGTATTAGAATTCGTTGCGTGGATAGTTAATGCCCAAAGGAAGGTTGCTATCTGGCTGAGTTTTTAAATACATGTTTTGGCGCAATAAGTATGTGATAATTGTTTGATTATTTTCCATGACAATGATATATCGGTCCAAAGGAAGATTTATTATTTGTCAGGACTATGTTATCAATATTTGATTGCTGCGTTGAGATACTAATTACAAGTGAATATTTTACATCCAAAGATGAGAATATTAATGTTGAGTCTGTATCTTATTTCCATTTTTATCTCTACTTATGTGAATTGTTTCATTTGTGAATTGTGAGCTTATACTTATCTATTTGTTTATTTTCTCTGATGTCAGCTAACATGTCATTTAATCCTGATTGTGTCCCTAAACTTAAGGGATCAAATTTTGAGTCTTGGAAATCAGACATTATGATCTTTCTGGGCTGTATGGATTTGGATCTTGCATTCAGGATGGACGAACCTGCTCCTCTTCTTACTTGATAACGAGCACTGATGGATGCAAAAGGTTTCAGTATAAAGTGGCGAGAAAGGGTTCAGTATGAGAAGTGGGAGCGTTCTAATCGCTTAGGTCTGATGATCATGCAGAAAGGAGTCCCAGAACATGTTCGAGACTCTGTCTCAGCTAAAAAGAACAATGCTCAAAACTATCTTGCCGAGCTGGAGAGGGCTTATGTCAAGAATGACAAAGCCGAAGTGGGAACACTTTTAGGAAAATTAACCTTTATGAAGTTTGCTGGCAATGGTGGTGTTCGGGAGCATATTCTTAGCATGTCTCAGATTGCAAAGAGACTGAAGTCGCTGGGGATGGCTTTACCAGATGACCTTTTAGTCCATTTGGTTATGAATTCTCTTCCTTCTCAGTATGGACAAATTAGGACTTCCTATTAGGGACTTTCCTATAATGTCAGCCGAATTAAATGGACTTCTTAACATGGACTCTTAACGAGCTCATTTCTCATTGTGTTGATGAGGAGGAAAAGATGAATTCTAACAAAAGAGAGAGTGCTCATTTTGTTTCTTCAGCTGAGAAGGGCAAGAACAAGAAAAGAAAGAGGCCTTCTGCAAAGACTGTTGAAAAGGCTATTGAGAAACCTGCTGTTGCTACTGCTGTAGATCCAGTACAAAAGAAGCCTTATGTGCCAAAATGCTTCTTTTGTGGAAAGACGGATCACTTGAGAAAGGACTGTCCTAAATTTGCTAATTGGCTTGCAAAGAGGGGTAAGTACCTTGTAAGTACCTTGTTTTAGTCTGTTATGAAGTTAATTTAACTTCAGCTCCTAAAAACACTTATTGGATGGATTCTGGTGCTACCGCTCATATAAGTGTTTCATTGCAGGGCTGCCTTAACTACAGAAAGCCAACTGACGGTGAAAGAGTCTATGTAGGAAATGGCGATCCGGTTGAAGTAGAGGCAATTGGACATTTTAGATTATGTTTAAATAAATTATAAACGATACTGTGACATCCTACCGAGTCGAGTCTTAGAGTCGAGTCGAGTCGAGTCGAGTTGAACCAAACCCGGTTGGGGTAGAATGGGATTATAAGTGGACTTACTTGAGTGAGAGAAAATTTATCTATGAATTCAAAAGTTTTGAGTACTGGTTGCTTGAATGAATGTGATAATCTATATATGTTAGACATTGATACTAGTTATCATGAATCCCTACATGTTACTACAAGAGGTACCAAAAGAAAGACAGACGGTACCAAAAAGAAAGTGGAATACATTGATAACTCGGCTGTGTACTTTGGCATTAGACGTCTTGGGTCAGTTTATCCCAAAATCGAAGGAATGAGCGTCTTGTTTGCTGATGTATCTTAATAACACTTTGATTATACACATGGTTTGGGATTCTTCGTCATGAGTGATTAAAGGCAAAACAGGAACTAAACAAAAAGACTAAGGGTGTCAATTCGTCATCCAATGTATTTAGGCAACTTAGAATTCATACAGATATTTGTGCGGTCCATTCCATATTGCCAACTAGAAAATGGCCAAAGAATATTTTTGCAGCTAGAAATGGCCAAAGATATTTTATATCATTCATTGATGACTATTCTCTTTATGGTTACTTATATCTCATTCATGAAAAATCTGAGTCTTTGGACGTGTTTAAATCTTATAAAGCTGAAGTTGAAAATCAACTGGGAGAGAAGATTAAATCTGTTCGATCTGACCGTGGTGGTGAATATTATGGTAAATATGACGGTTCAGGCGAACAACGTCCAGGACCTTTTCGCTTTTCCTACAGGAATGTGGAATTGTCCCTCAATATACAATGCCTGGTACTCCCAGCATGAATGGTGTATCTGAGAGACGTAATAGGACTCTTATGAAAATATGGTAAGGAGTATGATTAGTCATTCTACATTACCAGAGTCATCTGTGGTGTGAAGCGTTAAAGACAGCAGCTTGATCTTCTCAAGTAGGATTCCATAATAAAGCAGTTCGCTAAAAACACCTTATAACTTTGGACTGGAACGTAAGCCTAGCTAAAAGCATCTTTCATGTTTTGGATGCTCCAGTGAAAGCCAAGGCCTTAAAAGGCCGAATGAAACAAAACTGGACTCCAAAACTTATCAGAAGCTACTTTGTTGGATATTCTGAGTGGTTCTAGTTACAAGTTTTATATAATTCCTTATAATCCTACTTCCAGAACTTTTTTTTGAAACGAGAATTGCAACATTTTTTGAGGATGTTGATTTTGGAGGGAGAAATAAAGAAAGAAACATTGTCTTTAAAGAGGAACCAAGTAAGGATGATTCGGTTCTCATTCCTTTTGTTGTTTCTGATAGCGTACAGACTCCAGTTGCTCCTGTCACTATTCAAGATCCAATTCCAGACAATGCTATTCTTCCTTAAGAACAAATTCAACAACCTCAAGAATTAGAGTCTGTTCAAATGCCTTTGAGGAGATCTACTAGGGAGAGAAGAAGTGGTAGGGAGAGAAGAAGTTGCTATTCCAGATGATTATAGTAGTGTTTCTTTCAGGAGAACATCGAGGGATAGCTGTAGACAATGATAGATGATTGATTCCAGTTAGTTTCTTATCATGCCATGAGGAGATCTGTTTTTCTCATAAGTGGACTTGATGGCGTATGACACGAACCGCAGCTATAGTCTGATGCCAAGGAGCAAATCAGAGTTTGGGATCTTGTTCAATACCTTGGGATCTTGTTCAATTACCTGAAGGAAAGAAACCCATTGGTTGCAAATGGATATTTAAAACCAAAAGGGATTCTCAAGGTAATGTGGAAAGATATAACGCACGTCTTGTAGCAAAAGGCTTTACTCAAAAGGAAGGGACTGACTATAAAGAAACCTTCTCTCCAGTTTCTTCGAAGGATTCTTTTAGGACAATCATGGACTTAGTTGCAAATCTTGATCTTGAGCTTCATCAAATAGATGTTAAGACTACGTTTCTCAATGGCAACATTGATGAAACAATATATATGGTGCAACCAGAAAATTTTGTAATTGGAGATCCAAAACATCTGGTATGCAAATTAAAGAAATCCATTTATGGACTCAAGCGAGCTTCTCGTCAATGGTACTTTAAGTTCAACTAAGTAATTGTCTCGTTTGGCTTTGAGGCAAATTCTCGTCTCGTTTGGGCTTTGAGGCAGAATACTGTTGAAATGGTGGAATGTACCATAAGTTCAGTGGGAGTAGGTTTTATCTTTTGAGTCTTATATGTGGATACATACTTCTTGACCTACTAAATTGTAAAGTCTTGCTTACATGAAACCAAATTTCTTTACTTTCAAAGCATATTGGAGATGAAAGATTAGTGAAGCTCTTTTTGTATTGAGGATTCAGATACAATGCGAGACCGTTCTCGAGGGGTATTCGTTGCCGATTATCACAAACAGTAAGCTCCAATATGATAAAGTGCTCGAAGAGGATTTAGTATTGCAGAATTCTAGACCATTGGATTACCCCTAGACCATTGGATACCCCTATTGCAAAAGGTGATAAATTTAGTAATCAACAATGTCCAAAGAGTGAACTTGAAATTTAGGAAATGCAAAAGGTTCCTTATACGTCAGCTATAGGAAGTCTTATGTATGTTAAAGTTTGTACTCGTCCAGACATTTCTTTTATAGTTGGCATGTTAGGTAGATATCTCAGCAATCTAGGAATGGATCATTGGAAAGCAGCCAAAAGAGCCATGAGATATCTTCAGAGGACTAAGGGACATATGCTCACATATAGGAGATCAGATCAGCTTGAGATCATTGGGTATACTGATTCTGATTTCGCTGGATTCTGATTTCGTTGGATGCCAAGACAGAAGAAAATCCACATCTGGCTATGTTTTTCTATTGGCTGGTGGTGCTATTTCTTGGAAGAGTGTGAAACAAACTCTAGTGGCAACCTCCACCATGCTCCACCATGGAAGCTGAATTTGTAGCATCTTATGAGGCATCCAATCAAGCTATTTGGTTGAGAAACCTTGTCACTGGGCTGCGTGTAGTAGGTGGAATAGAAAGACCACTGAAGTTGTATTGTGACAGCAGGTCAGTCGTTTTATTCTCCAACAACAACAGGAGCTCTTCTCGATCAAAACACATTGACATTAAGTTCTTGGCTACGAAGGAGAGGGTACAGAGTGGACAGATATCCTTAGAGCATATTGGAACAAACTCTATGATTGCGGATCCGCTTACAAAGGCAGTGATACCGAAAGTTTTCGAAAGTTTTCCATGAGCACACCGCTCATATGGGTATCGTTTTGTTTGAGACTGTCTAGTTTTAGTGGGAGTCTGCTCTTTATGTATACATTATGGTTTTGAATGCTCTATTTTGTTTTGGATATGTTTTATCATGAAATTTTGTTGAGTACTCATTTTGGTTGATGGTTACACTCTGTATTATTATTATTGTTTACTATTATGTTTTGGCTTGATCTCACTTTTTGTTGGTGACCCCAGTTGGATAGACAGGACATGATGATCACCATTGCATGTAGTTTTTCATGGCTTACACTTTATTAATTGAGATCTATTCATTTCAGGGTATTGGTAATGTAGTGATGAGAAACTAGTCATGTAGGATCTCATGGCGAATGTGTGCTTCAGGCTTCTTTATCCCTCACCGCACTATAACTAATGGACGACGATTGTTTCTTTGCCGATACCTTGTAGTGACTGCGTTTTGTTAAGCTCATTTGTGTATGTGATTTTAATTTGAACATATGTTCGGCCAAGTGGGAGATGTTGATTTAATGTTCTATTGTGGGCTTAATATGTAAAATAATATGTACAGCAGCTCCAATTGTTAAGAGTCAATTTTCAAATTACAGCAGTCGTAAAGTCAATTTCAAATGTGGTCTTGATTGTGAATAATTGACTATTGAGGTATCAACTGATTATAAATATTAAGTGTAGAGACCATTATATAATTTTTATTTTGTTAAAGGACCGAAATAGAAATTATACTAACGCTACAGGTATATAAAGGTAGTGGTCCCCAGAGGAGTTGAATACGATTCAATTTTACGTTCCTTTCGTATTGCTTCCGCTAATCGATTCTTCAATTCTCTGGAAGGCTGCAAACCTAATTCTACACATCAAGATCGACCAACAACGATGTCAGGTACGCAACCTTTTGTACGCAACCTTTTCTTATTTAATCTATTTTGTTGAATCTAGTGGTTTGCACGATCTAGGTTATTATTGAATCATTTTGAGATTAATTCTTAACAATATATTCCTCATTTTGTGTGTTGGTGTTGGAATCCCAGATTATTAGGGATTAGTTTTACATGATAGTAATTTTCCTTTTGTATCTAGTTTCCTATATAAACACAAAATTTCCCTCAATATCAGTTTGCAACAGTTGGGCTTATAGGATTCTAAAAGGAAAGTATTTTCTTAGTCAATGGGAAAAATTAAGCAATTTTCAAGGAAATATCTTTTTCTTTTCAAAACTTAATCATTTGAGTGGCAAAAATTCACATGTATGAAAGAAAATAATAAGAGAACCATATAGGCAAATACCCAGAAAAAAAAAAGCCACTTACACATAATACCAGATAGAGTGAAAATGCACATGCTGAGATACAGAATCAACGAAATAAAATCATGGAAAAACGCACAAGTTAAAACATTTTTACAGCAAAAATTCATAATAATGAAACATTACATACCTCGCCTCTCAGTTCTGCATAGTAGACAGACCCAAACCCACCTTTGCCAATCTTATTAGCCACATTGAAGTTATCAGTAGCCTGGGCAAGTTCTTTGTATGAGAACTCCACCGGTTTTTTCAATGTTATGATTGTGGAACCTGAAGATGGAGCCAGACCAGTTGATTCAACAAGTCCATCCGAATTACTTCTAGGAGCTGGACAAAGAGAAAGGGAAGATTATCCGAATTACAAGCTGAAGAAAACGAAAGGGAAAGCTTACGAAAAAAACATATGATATCACTAACGAAAATTATAGCAATGTTGCCAATAATGTAGCAAAATTATATTAGTTTTATTTGGTTTCATTCTAGAAGTGATTCAAATCACCGAAATTCTCCAAATACACTTAATTGTAAAAAAATTGAAGTTTAATTGAATGAATTTAAAAGTTTAAGAACCCAAATAGAAAATTTTCAAAAGTTATGCTCTGCCAATGTCAATATTATACTCGGTAAAAATAGAACAATACTTTAGATAAACTTGCAGAGAACAGTGATTCATTAAGTACTGTCATTAAAAATTGATCAAATATAAAAATAAAAATACCATTAGTAGAGAGATCTGGAGATGTTTTCTTAAGAAGTATTGCCTCCTTAGCCTTCTTCCTTGTGTAAAATCGAACGTATATACAAACTGCTAATAAAAATACAACAGCTACTGTTGTTGCTGTGGACAAGCCAGCAACAACTCCAAACCCTGTCCATGATTATATGAAATGAAAGTACAACATAAGCCCTAAAGGAATGGAATTTGCATTATAGCATCTTGGTGAAAGAAGATAACCTTTCAGCCGACAGTTGTACCAAGCAAACTTGCCAACATTATAAGTAAGTTTTGGTGTTAGATATGTTTCGAGAAAATGCATAATTACAGGAATTTTCCTAGGAAACAAAATTCCATTGTGGTCCGATAGAAAATTTGAAAATGAAAGAAATTGATGATGGCAGTGAGCTTATCGATGATACAGGTTACTTGAATCATCTAATACTACCTGTCAATTTCTTTAGTTATCCCAAGTCTACTTCTCATAGTTCGACAAGGTTTTTTTTTTTTTTTTTTTTTTTTTTTTTTTTTTAAGATTAGGAGAGATTCAAAACTTAAATTCAGATATATAATACTTAATACTAAGCTATGTCATGATGTTCATAGTTTGAGCCAGGTTATAACTCTTCACTTTTTTTTTTTTTTTTTTTTTAAGTATTAGGGAGAGAATTCAAACCTAAATTCATGATATATATACTTAATACTAAGCTATGTCATGATGTTTCATAGTTTGAGAAGGTTATAACTCTTCACAGAATGGGAGGTTAATGCATTATTCTTGCCTATAGGCCTAGCTGAAGTCCTAATCGTGACCCATCGTGGATAGGACTTATTTGAAACCTTTATCCTTCCTTAGGTCATTCTAGTAATAAAAAACTTAATGAGGCTTTCTTATGTTTTTGTAGGGTTATAATTTTTTTCTTTTTTCCAATTAAGAAAATATAGTATCTAAAGGTGTACTTTTTTTTTTTTTGGTGAGAACATCTACATCAATATCATCACAAAAAAGCTTGAACATGGAGAGGAGCAAACCAATTGTCCTGCAAAAATTAGTAAAAAAAATAATAATAATTTGTAAGAGATTGTTCAAAGGTAGCAAAATGGAATTCAAGATTCATAGAATGAGCATGATAACCAAAATCACCTTGATGACAATGGCCGGTAACTATTTTTTTCATCTGTAAATGCAGAAAGAACTTCAATAAGGCACATTAATAGCATTTCATATCAGCTGAAACTACAATATATTTTGGTTTTTAATATTTTTTTGTTACATGATAATGTTTCATCAGAAGCAAATGTATAATAGATTCACTTTCAATAACCAGGAAACAAGTTCATCCAAAGATCGATATGAGCTTAGTCATTGTAGCCATTTAAGTGTAACAAACGACACAAAAATAATTGGAAAAATATAAGAGTAAATAGAATATAAATAAAACCAAACTAGTAACGAATTTGATTAATTTCACCTAGGGCCTCAGATTTTAGAAATGGCAATATATATATAAATTGGAAAATAAGCTTCCCATATTTGAAAAATAAAAACTAAAAATAAAAAATAACAAATTGTACCAAACAGCCCTAGATTTGCTTAATAAATAACCATACGCTGTCAAAATTAAAAATTAATTTTCAATTAAATCTCAACTGCTTATTCTTGAGATTACACAAATATAATAAAAAAAATGAGAAAATCCAAATCCTAACACATTAAAAATTCCTAAATTTGAATTATAAAAACTCACCTTTGCCTGGAATATAGACCAAATCATTTCCGGCACTGAAATTGGCACCAACATTATATCTCTGCAGCAAATCAGCAGAAATATTGAACTGACTGGCAATGGATGACAACCCATCCTCAGGCCGAAGAGGGTACGTGATAAACAACCCATAATCCTTGGAAACTGAGCTATCCCCGCACGAGCAATTCACCGTAACATTAATGACAGCATCTTCTGGTATCATACTACCAGCATAGAAATTGAACCTCTCCAACCAGGGAACTGAAGTCAAGTTCGAATATCGATACTCGGCGATGACGTCATAAGTATCGCTGGGTGTTATATTATAGTGAAAAACGTGGCCGAGAAATTCACCAGCGATGCAATCGCAAGGGAAGGGGACGTTGATTCTGTTAGAGGCCGGGTGTCGATTTTTGTTGCACTCGATGATTTGATATGGAGATTGTAAAATTTCTGATCTCAAAGCGTTCGCTATGAACGTGAGGTTTGTCGACGGCCGGACATAATAGGAAGCCAGAGCCAAATCGCAGCCTTTAGTGCATTTGGACTCGATGGGACAGCAGACGGAGAACAACAGCAAAATTCCCAATTCTAACCATAATATCAGATTCATTGAATTTGAAGAAGTGGGGGATTTTGCTTGGAGGAAGGAAAGTATTGACAAACTGCTCCGGTTTTAATTTTGATAGTTGTTGACCGTTGGAGTTAGAAATTTTAAAAATGGCAGTCTTTTTCTTCTCTTATTTTAAAGAGTATGGATTTGTCTGGTAGAAAGTTTTCAGACTCCCGCGGTCTCCTAACTGGGCCTATGATGATGATACTGGGCCCTAATAATAATAATAATTTGGATTGAATTAATTATATTTAACAGGAAAACTTATTTTTCAGCTAAAGTTTTACAGAATACATGATAACTTCGTTCTTACTATTTGACAAATTATTTCGCAGTCGTGGCATATGTGCATCTCACTCTTCGGTCCTTCCCCCGAAAAAATCATATTTTTTCCGTTCTTTTTATATAAAAAGACTGAAATAACCTTATTACATCACGTAAATGGCCCACAAGCAAATTATAATAATAATAAAAGTCAAAAACAATCATAAAAAAACATTAAAATAGAACAAACTTTTCACAAACTCCAACTCATCTCTCTTCTCAATCGTAAACCACCACCTCCTACGACAGTTACAGCCACAGTCAACAATCTGCCTCCGCCTCCGCCTCCGCATTTTCAATCTCTGATCAAGTCCAAGTTAAAAATACAAACTCAACTACAACTCTTGTTAAGTTCAGAATCACTCTTCGACAACACCGCTAACGCCACCGCCTGACCTACATCTCCTACCGCAATAACACCCAATGCTAGCAAGGAAATCATCAGAACTGAACTCCAACCCAATTCGAAGTTCTCCTATATTATTAATGATAATGAAGGCGGTGATTAACCATCTCTTTGCCTCTTTTTACACATCAGATGCCCCAAAATGCTAAAATTCTCATCTTTTTCAATATGATTTCATCTTTCTCTGCTGCATTCTCCTCTTTCTAGTCAAGTAATTGCAACAGAATCGAGTTGAGTGCGAATGAAACCCAACCAATAAAACCGCTTGCGTTAATTCCATTTTTCAAACTCTCACAAATCAACAATTATATCAAACGCTCTGTGTTTGGAATCCTGGATGAGGAAGGAGTGAAATGGAGTTGGATAATTAAAAAATGCTATAATATTTATGGGTCCCACAACATATGGGTATTTGGGTCTTTTTTATGTAAAATTAACAGAAAAAATATGACTTTTTGGACGGAAGGATTGAAGAGCAAGACGGAAACATAGTCAAAGACTGCGAAATAATTTCATTGAACAATGAGAACGAAGTCATGTATTCTATAAAACCTCAGGGACCAGAAAATAATTTTTCCTATTTAAAATTAAGAGGTTCAATTGAATCATAGGTCCTAAATAAATATGTAGACCCAATTTATAAATAATAACAAATATATTATGTATAATATTTATATATTAGAATATTATAAATAATAGTAATAATGATAACAATTAATTACAAAAATATTTGATAAGAAAAGAGGATAAAAAACGTAGGATATTAGTATGTTCTGTCCTTTTCAAATGATTCGTTTGCACATATTTTTAATTTTTTTCTTTATAATTAAATTTTATTTAAATTATTTATATTACTTATGATTCATTTGACTCGTGAATTCACATTCAATTATCTAACTTCATGTATTTGAGAAATTTACTTGATCCATTGTATCATGAATACTTTGAAAACAATGAGGACAACCCAATCGGATAGTCAAAAAGATAATACTCAATAAGAAGAGTATAATGTAGGTAAGCAATTGATGTGATGCTTGAGTTTGTCAAGAAGAGCACCTATGCACATGGAGGCCTATCTTTTGAGTAAAAACTTGAAATCTTTATTATTATATTATTTGAAAAGATTATTCAACACTATGGATTAATTATTTACATCTAAAATTAAATTAACGCTTTATATTATGAAAAAAAAATTGTATTCTTAAATCATCTATTAAGTGTATTTTTCTTTTTTTTATTTAACGATAAGGTAATATTATGAGTAAGCTTTCACACACTGTACTAAATACACCTCTCTTGCTTGTAATGAATAGTGGGGAATCCACCGCATCAAAAGAGAGATCAATTGACCTCTCTTTTATATAATTCGTCTAGAAAATTTAAGGAAAAAAAATCTCATTTATAATTTAATTTCAAGGATCGAAAATCAATCAATAAAGAAGGAAGCAACGGTTATTAAGTGTATTCTAAAAATATATGTAGTTTAATAATGAATTAACATGCTAACTTTTATGTGTAAGAAAATTGGTAATATGAACTTTTGTCGGTAAAATCTGATATTTTATCGGTAAATCACAGTTATCGACAAATTACCGGAAATATTTTTTTTACTAATTTCATAAACCATAAAATTTGTAGGTATAAAATTTATAGGTATAGATAATTTGTTAAACTTTTTTTTCTAGTAATTTTATTTTCAAAACTTTTAAAATTTTATGAATAATTTATTTAAAGTTTATCAGTATTTTATCAGTTGTATGTTAATATTTAATCGATAATTTGTAATTAGTTTCAGAAATAATAGTAAAATAAAATGTAAAGTAAATTTTTGTTGCTATTTTGTCTCTATTTTATCATAACCTTTTTTATTTTTATTTTTGATTAATAAATTAATTATATTTTAATAATTTTATATTTATAAACTTTAATAGCTGAAATAAATAAAAACATCACAAATAAGTAAAAATTAGACAAAAAGAGGAAAACACGTAAGGAAAAGAAAAAAGAAAACAAAATTATATACCATACTCCTCAATAATTAGGATCGGCCTTCATAATTTAATAAAAAAATTAATTAAATTTTATATAGAGGAAAATAATACATAGTATATTGTATCCCTGATAATTTTAGTTCATAAATATATGTATTAACTTAAATGTTTTAAAATGGATTCTTTTTTATTTTGAGTTTTGATTGAGTAGATTCAATTTAAAGTCGTCTTGTTTCGTTTTTATAGTAGTATACCTCAACCGAACCAGAGCATACAAAAAGGTTGTCCGGTGTGGATGCATCTGTGCTATCCGCAACCAACCAAAATTACCACGCAAATCTTTTAGCTCACTATATCAAACCTAAAGCATAAAGCCATAAAGCCATAAAGCCAACGGCCGAAAGCAGTCGAAACAAAAGAGTCTAATGAGGCGTGACCCTGACCTTGCTCCACCTCATCCGGGGCGACTAGTCTGCTTCAAAGAGGGTTGGTTGCAGAGAGACACTTTCAACTGTGAAGTGTTGGTCTAAAAAGGCTGTGCATAGACACGCATAAATAATGTGAAATCCTCACTGCTATATTTGTTATTAATAATATTAATTAATTATCCGTCCCTTTAATGTAACTCAAATAAATACAAATCCAGTAATATTCCAAACCATAATATTTGATACAAGCCATGGAAAAAGATATAGCCGGGCAAAATTTTGATCTTTAAATTTCCAATTTGAAGGATAAGCAAGTTCTCCAAATGCAACTGAATGATTAGAAACAACACAACCCTGCAAATTGAAGGAAAAAGTATAAAATATACACAAGGAGTCTCCAAGCAATAAACGATGCCACATCTTGTGAAAATCTAAAATAATGAAGGTGGCACAAAAAATAACTGAAGAATAGAAGTTACCAAGAGCAGTGGCTAGCTCAAGGAATAACTCCTTCAATTGCTTGCTTTTCAGTTTTTCCCTCTCAAACTTGAGAATTCTTTTTGGAACTTTCCCTTTATTTTTTACTAGGATAATACCTGCATTACAGTCGAATCTATGTTAAACAATATAAACTTAGACCATTCATCCAGATTCAGACAAATCTCTTTTTTGCATTTTCTTACATTTCACAAACAGAGAATATTAGCTGCTGATGCTACTCAATAACAGGGCATGATAAATATAATTCCCAAGCAGAAATTGTAAGGAAATTAGTGATAGCTACCCTTCCAAACTGGATTTTGCAGGCAATGCATGCAAAATTCAAAATTTCCAATCAACTCCAGAGGAAAAGAATTATCTTATCCGGCTTGCATGAACAAGAGATGCATGAGCAGAAAAATCAATAACATAACAATTTTGAACAAGAATTCGCATCTAAAGAGACAAGCAAGAAGGGTAAAGAGATATCATGTAACTACATGCAAGTGGACAAAATTAACGAATCAATTACTGTTTGTAATTCAGGCAAATACCCGCAGCACATAAGACTACAGTAAACATCAATCATGAACAAAGGAGAAATGGTACCTCTCTTGATGTACTTATATGAGAATACAAGATAACAACAACTTGGCTGACTATTTTATGAATTGGAGCAACAAATTCTAGATCTATAGGACTGAAATCAATCATCAACTTCTGCTTTAATTTCCCTTTGTAGCTCTTCCTTGTACTCTTCAAATGTGCCAGGAAAAGTCTCCACAGTTCCATTTTCCACCACCCAAATTTCACTTCTTTCTTCATCCTCACAAACACGAGAAATAAGCCTAGAATCATGACTGACCAAGACAACTCCGCCAGTGAACTCATCTAGTGCATCAGCCAATGCATCAATGCTCTGCATGTCTAAATGATTTGTTGGCTCATCCAACATCAATATGTGTGGCTTCGACATGGAGATTGATGTGAATACAACACGTGCTTTCTGTCCTCCTGACAGCTTTGCAATTGGAGTGAGGTGATTATGGCTAGGGAGTCCGAATTTCCCAAGCTTTGCACGAACAGCCTCCTGCTTGCTAAGTCCCTCCTGATCCGGATGAAGACGAAGCAGATACTGAACAGGTGTTTCATCCATTGTTAATAGGTCCACAAAGTGCTGTGAGTACCTCCCAATCCGCAATTTCTGACTTCTTCTCACCTCACCTTCACTAGGAACTAAATCCCCAGCAAGAAGATTTAGCAGAGTAGATTTTCCAGCTCCATTGGGACCAACAATGGCAACACGAGTTCCCATATCAATGCCCACATCAACATTCGATAGCCTGAAATCATCTCGATTAGGGTAACTAAAGCTGACTTCAATCAGCTGCAAAAGTGGTGGTGTCAGCTCTGTAGGTTCAGGGAAGTGGAACTCCACACTGTAATCTTTCCACTTCTTTGGAGCCTCTGGGAGGGCTTCATCTTCATCGACCTTGCCCTTTGCCTTGTTCTTTGATGCTTCCTTGGCAGCAGCAAACTTCGCACGGTCTTTAACTTTTTCCTGCTGAGCACGACTTCCTGACCTCCTGGCAGCTTTAACCTGCTTATCATAAATCTCAAACTTCTTGTTCATCTCTTTTCGACGCTGCTCATATCCACTTTCAAAATCATCAAAATTTCCACGGTAGACATGAAGCTTCAAGTCATGAAGATGAATAATTTCATTGCATACTGTATTAAGGAAATCTCTATCATGAGAAACAACAACAAGAGTTTTCTTCCACCTGCACAGGTACTCCTCCAACCATAGAACTGCCCTGAGGTCAAGGTGGTTAGTTGGTTCATCCAACAACAAAAGAGTTGGCTGCACAAAAAGTGCCCTAGCGAGCGAAATTCTCATCCTCCAGCCACCACTGAATGATCGAGTAGGACGGCCTTGCATTTCCTTAGTGAAGCCCAGTCCAGCTAGAATTTTTGATGCCTGAGCCTCAGCAGCATCTGACCCTAAGATCTGCAATTTCTCATACAATTCAGCAAGCTTCTCTCCCACATCATTTCCATTTACATCTTCACTATCATCGTCATCATCAACAGCTGAAGTTGAATCCTGCAAAGACGTTACTTCTTGCCGAATCTTGATAAGCTCTTCATTAGCTGAAACAACTGCTTCAAGAGCAGATTTATCATCTCCAACCACCTCTTGTTCTACCAGAAGCACATCTATATTTTTAGGAACAGGAATCTTCCTCCAAGCAAGAAGTTTTAACAACGTAGATTTCCCCATCCCATTGGGCCCAACCAAACCATATCTCTTTCCATGAGATATCTTGACCGATGCATTCTTTAAGAGTTCTTTACCCCGCGCTGCCACAGAGAAATTATCGATAGTAATATCCTTGACATTAGCATCTGCTTCATCTTCACCTTCAAGAACTGAAGCTCGGCTACCAATAACAACAGTGAAAGCATCATGGTCATCCTTAAGGGCCTCTTTTTTTGCCTGCTCTGCCACATGTGCAGCAAGCAAGTCCTTCTTTTCTCGTTTCTTAAGTTCTTTGTCTGTCACAGAGATTTCAAGTGGCTTTGGATCATCCCTTTGCAGTCTATTTGACTGTCTTCTGATCTCAGACTGCTGTTTTTGCTCATCCTCAGAGCCATAATCATCCTCTCCATCAGAAGGAGGGAGATCAATCCCATCAGTATAAGATGTAACTTTTGGAGCCTTAGCCTTAGCAGTGCTCAATGAAGTTGACCCCTTTTTAGGCTTGTCAGGTTTCTGGTCCATGCCGGCAAGCATGGCTGCAACAGATATTTTCTCTTTCTTTCCATCTTTGTTGCTTGTCTTTGCTTTTGCTGCTAAACCAACCTCTTCTGTTTTCTTTTTTCCCATAGTAGAAATTACTTTAGGAAAATAAAAAAGCTGGAGAAGTTTAAAAAAAAAAAAAAAAATTAGACAATCCCATCAGTATAAAAGATGTCACTTTTTGGAGGCCTAGCCTTAGCAGTGCTCAAATGAAGTTTGACCCTTTTTAGGCTTGTCAGGTTTCTGTCCAATGCCGGCAACCATGGTGTCAACAGATATTTTTCTCTTTCTTTCCATCTTTGTTGCTTGTACTTTGCTTTTGCTGCTTTAAACCAACCTCTCGTTTGTCTTTTTCCCATAGTTAGAAATTACTTTAGGGATAATAAAAAAAGCTGGAGAAAGTGTTTAAAAAAAAAAAAAAAAAAATTAGCATAAATCTTCGTGTTATTGGGACATATAATTATAGAAGTTTAAAAAAAAAAAAAAAAAATTGCAATCTCGTGTTATTGGACATATAATTATATTTAAAAAGAAAAAAAAAAAGCAGAAAAATGCAGTTAAGAACTTCAATAGAAGCCTGTCAAAAAGTAAAAAAAATGCATGTAAAAGCATAAATATTGAAGAAAAATATAAATAGCATACCAAATTGGACAAGATACAACATATTAGTGCTTAGACAGAGCATAAGCTGAGAGAAAAGCCTTTTAATTTATCTATGATTCACAAAATTGGAGTAATCAAACATCGCCATACGTGCAGGCTCGATTCAAAAACTCGAACATAAAATATACTTCAGAAACTGGAACTAAAAGCCAACAAACCCTGCATCTTCAACCTAAAATCCTACATCTATCCACCAAATCCTAAGACCTATTTTAAAAAATAAAATTATTCCATGATTTTTGTGACCTCTTCACAAAGAAGAGGAGCCATTACTTGGCCTTCGAAGAGGATATCCGGTAGAATCCAGAATATCTCTTCGACTCTAATGGATCTCGAGGTTTGCACAGTGATTAAATAAAAAAAAAAGAATGAAAAGGAGAAGAGTCAAGCTAACCGAATTTACTTCTGATTAATTTCTTCTTGTTGTTTGTTTCTTTGCAGTACGGCAATGAAACAAGCGAAAGTTTCGCTTGGCTCAACTCCTGGAGTTTGACGATGCCGGTGATGAGCGATCGCCGTTCCGTGGCTGCTAGATTTGTAAGTGGCGGAAGTAAAGCGTGTATCGAGGGAAGAAAGAAGATCTTTTTTGTTTTTAAAGGTCAGAATAAGATGAATTTATACGATGATGAAGGGGTGAGCAATAGTAGTCGGTTATGAACCCAAAAACTGGATTGAACCGACATATTTCGCTCTGGTTCGGTCAGCAATTTTAAAATCTAAATACCAGTCTGTTTGATCAGAGAAACCCATTCGGTTTTCTATCTGATCCGATTATCTTTATACTAATCGAGTTTATTTATACATCTTAAATTAGCTGATTTTAATTTTTAAATAACCAAACTCAAATCAAATTGATTTGATGAGATTCAATTTTGTTTGGTTTTATTATATTCAATCATCATAAACAGTTATTCAGCTATACCGAACTGAGCAGGTTGAGTTCAGTTCAGTTAAACCGACTGCTCAACTTTTCAGTTGATGTACACTAACGGTTAGATCAAATCTATTTGGCAATAGTATAGTTTATGTTGTGTGTTCATTCTATTCATGATTATTTAAAAATAATAATATTATTATTATTAACTATTAGTACAAAGAAGTTTAATTAACATTTTTAATTTATATAACACCCATTAAAATATAATATGATATATAAATCTCAAAAATAACATAAAATTTTCTTCATCCCAAAATATAAATCATTTTATTATGATTGTAATATAAATCATCTCGAGTATTTTAACGAGTAATAAAATATATTTTTTAATATTGTATTTATTTATATCAGATACAACCATTATTTTCACGGGTTATTTTTTATTTTAATATAAAAGAAAAGGTGCGTAGCACTTTATCTCTCTTCTCTTTAGTTTTTTAAACTCCAATTTTAAACGGTGGTAATTCCTACCTCCTACTTTCTATCTTCTTTCGCTTTAATAAATTTATATCTGTTTTTCTATAACAGTTTTATCTTTTTTATTTTGTTATTATTGGTTGTGCCCATATTTAAAGTTTTTTTGTCCATTTTTTGTGAGTGTAATCCCTTCTTTGTGAGTGTTTAGTACTAAACAAAACTATGATATTTGATTTTATTTTATTGGAGACTTTAGATCTTGATTTACAGGTGTGGATCTTCGATCGATGGAGCCTAGTAGTATGGCATGTTCCTCCATTGATGCTATTGACTCATAGCAATAGAAACTCATCTGTAATCGTCATATGTTGTAAGTTATTAGAGAAGCAATCCAGTTATAGAAGAAGATCCAGAGGAGTTATTATTTTGACGTCCAAATCAATTAAAGGACTAATTACTACTATGAAAATTTATGTCTTTTGTCAATATCAACTTTAAGCGGAAAAATCTAATATTATATTTTTTTTTAATTTTAGTTTCATTCAAAAGGATATGAATTCCCTTGTTTTCTTAAAATATCAGCCAACTCTATTAGCTACTAATAGTAAAGTTCTATATCCGGTCTATAAACTTATTTGTAATTCTTGATATTATTATTAATGAATTATATTTAAAAAAAAAAGATAAAGAAAGGGTATTCAGTCAAATTTTTCTTTATTTTGTTAAAATTTAAGAAAATTAATTATTTACTTAGGGGTGTATTGAATTAGGATTGTGTTAGATTTTAAAAGAATTATTGAATTTGACGGAATTGAAGGATTTCCTAAGATTTTCACAAATTCCACTAAAATTCTATATAGAGTTTTATGGAATTGGTGGGATTTTTTTTTATAGATTCTGATTGACTTTGATGGAATCACAATGATTTTTATATATCTAATCGAAATTAATTTCAGGACCTAATTAAATAAATTAAAAGGTTTTAGAGCTAAATGAAAAACTGAAAAATAGTGAGGGATTAAAAAGCAAAATGCGTCATCTTGGCCAAAATCATTATTTTTTTCGTTAAAAATTTATCGCCACCAACAGTGAAAGACCTGCAATGGCTAGCGTCATCAGTCATCCCTCTTCCGTTAACCGATATATTAAACAAGTTCGGTAGTAGATATCCGATCAATTATTAGTAAAAAATATATTTTAAATAAGTTCGAAATTTAGATAATTAAATATTTGTGGATACCTTACCTGTTTAAGAGGTAATTTCAATGGGTTTTTGGACAGATAAAGGTAGTAAATATTAAACGGGTTCGAATATAAGTACTTAAAAATATATATTTAAACGGGTTTAAAACGGATACGGATAGTAAAATTTTAAACAGATACATATACAGGTAGTTTAAAATTCGCGGTTACCCACTCCGCTTTCGTTCTATTAAGGGGCGTATTGGATCAAGAATCTGTTAGAGTTTAAAAGATTTTTGAAATTTAGGTTGATGATGAATTTGTGAATGACTCTTTTATTCGTATATAACACTCTAAAATCCAACGAAATCAATAATTTTATATAATCGTTCCAAATCAGCAATTTTTTAAATACCATAAAATTTGTATGGACTTTTAAAAAGTTATAATTGAATACCATCAGATTTTTGTAAATTTTATAAGAGTCTGAATTGAATAACACAAAATTTAATAGATTTTAAAAAAATCTACATTGAATACTATTGAAATTCTAAAATCTTTTAAAATCTGACAGACTCTTAATCCAATATACCATACTTAATCTCCATGTAAAAACCTTAAATAATTTATATTTTAAAATAGAGAGAATATACTATAAATGATAATAGTAATATAAAAACAATCATATCCGAAGGATATCAAACAAAATTTTTAGAAGTATTTGATTTGAAATTCAACCGGATTTATTTTTAATCAAAGGGTCATAATTAAAATAGCATTTGGTTTGGTTTATATAGAAAATCTATTTAAAATAAGTCACAAATAATAACAGTATTCTTTCAAAAATCATTTTAAATCGTTGTATTTTTCCTTTTTTAGAAGTAAATTTTGAAATTTATTATTTTATCCTTATCTAATACTTTGCCCGTCTCATAATTATTGTTCTATTTCCTTCTGCATTTATTCCAAATTGTTATCTTATTTTATTTTTTTAGGAATAAATAATATTATTAAAAAAAATTGATAAAGTACATGTCTTTTTGAATCAAAAAATAATAATAACAAATATATAAGTTAATTTTTATTAAAAAAAATGAATACATAATGCTTTAAAGGTAAAAAGCCATTTTAATATTTTTAAAATCTGCAACTTATAATTTAAATAGTATCATTTTCAAAAAAAAAAAAAAAAGGATTAACCTAGTGATGAATATACATTTCTATATGGATAAAGAAAATTTTTAATTCCTTATATAGTTTTATCCTAAATCAAATTTGAAGGAAAAAATAAATGAATGGTTAACATTTTGAAATGGAAAAATATGGAAATTTTTTGATAATCTCTAAATTAATTTGTTCGGCGCGGCTTGATCACTGGCTCCCCTTGTAGCTTGGTGGTCTTGGTGATGTTTGCCAACTCCACATTGGCTCGGGTTCGAGTTGGTGTCAGGTGGAGAGAGAGAGAGATTGGAGACAAGAGGTATTTCAAAATACCTTTCTTTTTCCTTACTATGCCTTTGCATTGAGTATACTTTTTAAAATTACATAAAATTAATGGGAAAAAGTGAAATTTGAGAAATTTATTTTTATTGTTAATTGATTGTTTAAATTATATTGTTTACCTTTTCTTAATAGAATATCTATAAGAAATCAAGAACCATGTAATCGTTTTTTTTTTTTTTTTTAATTGGGAGACAAGAGGTATTGCAACAATACCTTTCTATTTTCCTTACTATGCCTTTCATTGAGTATTACTTTTATAAATTACATTTAAAAATTAATGGGGAACTAAAGTGAAATTTGAGAAATTTATTTTTTATTGTTTAATTGATTGTAAAAATTATATTGTTTACCTTTTCTTATAAGAATATCTATAAGAAAACTTCAAGAACCATGTAATCGTTTTTTTTTTTTTTTTTTTAACTAAAAACACATAAAATAAGACAATTAAGAAAACTATTCCCAAGAAAAATATTACTGCCATTGCTTTTTTTTTTTTTTTTTTTAACTTAAACACATATAAGAAATTAAGAAAATATTCCCAAGAAAAATACTGCCATTGCTTTACAATAATTACATATAAACAACCAAAAGAAACAAATAGGTTAAAATAACAACATCTTAAAAGGTATGTAGAAATAAATATCCAAAAATTTTGAGGATTCATTATAAATGTTTTGAATAATAATACTATACAATACAAAATATTTTATACGAATCTTTGCATTAAGTAATGATAAGGTTCTAATGCCATATTATATAACAATTCAAAAAAAAAAAAACAATGCATATACATATATTAGAAATAAAAGTGGTGCATCTTTTTCTTTTTTTTTAATAATTCATCTCTTTAAAATTAGCCTAATACACAAATTTAATTCTTTACTTTGGCCGATTCTCTTTGTAACTTTTTGAACTTTGCGGGAGTTTAGTAATGATAATGTATTTTCATATTTTAATAATAACTATTTAAAATCAGTTTAATACATGACATTTGCTTAATTCTCCTTGTACCCTTTTGAACTTTGCAATGTTCAATAATGATATTGTACTTTCATATTTGAGTAATAATTACATTACTCACTAAAATGAAACAATTTTATAGGGGTTCAATGGTAATTTTATATTTCATTTTAGTAAGAAGTATATTTATTACTAAAATATAAAAGTGTAGGGTCATAATTAAATTTCTGCAAAGTTTAGTGAGCCACTAGAATAATCAGCGTAAGGTGAAATTTATGGATTGAATACTTTAAGATCATGGCAATTTGAGTTAAATTGCACATGGCTTGTAATTCATTTACAAATGATAATGTTGACCGCTATGCATATAAGAGACAAATGCCATTTGTAAAATGGAAAACATTTATGAGTTGTTTGGATGGATGTAAATATAGGAAGATGTAAAATAAATGGTGAAAATACTATGGAATTTTCAAAATTTTTTGTTTGATTTGGTGAAATATGTTAAAAAGGATGTAAAACAAATTTATTTTAACACCCTTTCTAACCTAATTTTTACTCCATTTTGAAACAAAAATGAATATGTAACAGACTGATTTTCTTTTAGT